GCTGCCTCCCCTCCTTGTTCGGGCAGGTTTCGGCGTTCGTCGTCACCTGCTTACTAGCTGCTGCCGATCCATTTATCATCACTCCACTTGTCTTGTCTAATTAATCACACACACCTGGTCCTTATCCCCAATTAGTCATTGTATAAGTGTTCCTTCTGCTTCCTTGTCTGTGTGGGTGATTGTTTGTAGTGAGCTGTGTGTAGATTGGTTGAGCTACCCTTACCTTGTTGTTGCCAGGGTAGATATTTCCCCTGTGCCTGAGTTTTGTTGTCCCATGCTTGCGCAACTGTTTATCGACGGAATAAACTCTTTGGATGGGTTTTACTCTCCTGCTCCTGTCTCCTTCTATCACACGCATCACACTTTCATCACATTCTCAGTGGGTCAGAAGTTTACATACACTCAATTAGTATTTGGTAGCATTGCCTTTAAAATTGTTTAACTTGGGTCAAACGTTTCGGGTAGCCTTCCACAAGCTTCCCACAATAAGCTGGGTGAATGTTGGCCCATTCCTCCTGACAGAGCTGGTGTAACTGAGTCAGGTTTGAAGGCCTCCTTGATTGCACACGCTTTTTCAGTTCTGCACACACATTTTCTATAGGATTGAGGTCAGTGCTTTGTGATGGCCACTCCAATACCTTGACTTTGTTGTCCTTAAGCCATTTTGCCACAACTTTGGAAGTATGCTTGGGGCATTGTCCATTTGGAAGACCCATTTGCGACCAAGCTTTAACTTCCTTACTGATGTCTTGAGATGTTGCTTCAATATATCCACATAATTTTCCTTCCTCATGATGCTATCTTTTTTGTAAAGTGCACCAGTCCCTCCTGCAGCAAAGCACCCCCACAGCATGATGCTACCACCCCCGTGCTTCACGGTTGGGATGGTGTTCTTCAGCTTGCAAGCCCCTAGTTTTTCCTCCAAACATAACAATGGTCATTATGGCCAAACAGTTCTAATTTTGTTTCATCAGACCAGAGGACATTTCTCCAAAAAGTACGATATTTGTCCCCATGTGCAGTTGCAAACCGTAGTCTGGCTTTTTTATGGCGGTTTTGGAGCAGTGGCTTCTTCCTTGCTGAGCGGCCTTTCAGATTATGTCGATATAGGACTCGTTTTACTGTGGATATAGATACTTTTGTACCTGTTTCCTCCAGTATCTTCACAAGGTCCTTTGCTGTTGTTCTGGGATTGATTTGCACTTTTCGCACCAAAGTACATTCATATCTAGGAGACAGAACGTGTCTCCTTCCTGAGCGGTATGACGACTGCGTTGTCCCATGGTGTTTATACTTGCGTATTATTGTTTGTACAGATGAACGTGGTACCTTCAGGCGTTTGGAAATTGCTCCCAAGGATGAACCAGACTTGTGGAGGTCTACAATATTTTTTCTGAGGTCTTGGCTTTCTTTTGATTTTCCCATTATGTCAAGCAAAGAGGCACTGAGTTTGAAGGTAGGCCTTGAAATACACCCACAGGTACACCTCCAATTGACTCAAATTATGTCAATTAGCCTATCAGAAGCTTCTAAAGCCATGACATCATTTTCAGGAATTTTCCAAGCTGTTTAAAGGCACAGTCAACTTAGTGTATGTAAACTTCTGACCCACTGGAATTGTGATACAGTGAATTATAAGTGAAATAATCTGTCTGTAAACAATTGTTGGAAAAATTACTTGTGTCATGCACAAAGTAGATGTCTTAACCGACTTGCCAAAACTATAGTTTGTTAACAAGAAATGTGTGGAGTGGTTGAAAAACGAATTTTAATGACTCCAACCTAAGTGTACAGTGAGGGGAAAAAAGTATTTGATCCCCTGCTGATTTTGTACGTTTGCCCACTGACAAAGAAATGATCAGTCTATAATTTTAATGGTAGGTTTATTTGAACAGTGAGAGACAGAATAACAACAAAAAAATCCAGAAACACGCATGTCAAAAATGTTATAAATTGATTTGCATTTTAATGAGGGAAATAAGTATTTGACCCCTCCGCAAAACATGACTTAGTACTTGGTGGCAAAACCCTTGTTGGCAATCACAGAGGTCAGACGTTTCTTGTAGTTGGCCACCAGGTTTGCACACATCTCAGGAGGGATTTTGTCCCACCCCACTTTGCAGATCTTCTCCAAGTCATTAAGGTTTCGAGGCTGACGTTTGGCAACTCGAACCTTCAGCTCCCTCCACAGATTTTCTATGGGATTAAGGTCTGGAGACTGGCTAGGCCACTCCAGGACCTTAATGTGCTTCATCTTGAGCCATTCCTTTGTTGCCTTGGCCGTGTGTTTTTGGTCATTGTCATGCTGGAATACCCATCCACGACCCATTTTCAATGCCCTGGCTGAGGGAAGGAGGTTCTCACCCAAGATTTGATGGTACATGGCCCTGTCCATTGTCCCTTTGATACAGTGAAGTTGTCCTGTCCCCTTAGCAGAAAAACACCCCCAAAGCATAATGTTTCCACCTCCATGTTTGACGGTGGGGATGGTGACAAACATGGAGGTGAAAACATTATGCTTTGGGGGTGTTTTTCTGCTGGCGAGTTGGCGAGTTGAGTTGATGCCAAAGAGCTCAATTTTGGTCTCATCTGACCACAATACTTTCACCCAGTTCTCCTCTGAATCATTCAGTTCATTGACAAACTTCAGACGGGCATGTATATGTGTTTTCTTGAGCAGGGGGACCTTGCGGGCGCTGCAGGATTTCAGTCCTTCACGGCGTAGTGTGTTACCAATTGTTTCCTTGGTGACTATGGTCCCAGCTGCCTTGAGATCATTGACAAGATCCTCCCGTGTAGTTCTGGGCTGATTCCTCACCATTCTCATGATCATTGCAACTCCACGAGGTGAGATCTTGCATGGAGCCCCAGGCCGAGGGAGATTGACAGTTCATTTGTGTTTCTTCCATTTGCGAATAATCGCACCAACTATTGTCACCTTCTCACCAAGCTGCTTGGCGATGATCTTGTAGCCCATTCCAGCTATGTGTAGGTCTACAATCTTGTCCCTGACATCCTTGGAGAGCTCTTTGGTCTTGGCCATGGTGGAGAGTTTGGAATCTGATTGATTGATTGCTTCTGTGGACAGGTGTCTTTTATACAGGTAACAAACTGAGATTAGGAGCACTCCCTTTAAGAGTGTGCTCCTAATCTCAGCTCGTTACCTGTATAAAAGACACCTGGGAGCCAGAAATCTTTCTGAATAAATACTTATTTCCCTCATTAAAATGCAAATCAATTTATAACATTTTTGACATGCATTTTTCTAGATTTTTTTGTTGTTATTCTGTCTCTCACTGTTCAAATAAACCTACCATTAAAAATTATAGACTGATCATTTCTTTGTCAGTGGTCAAACGTACAAAATCAGCAGGGGATCAAATACTTTTTTCCCTCATTGTATGTAAACTTCAGACTTCAACTGTAAGTGATAAGTGATTTTAAAAAATAACTTAATGAATAGAATAAGCTTTTTAAATACATAGAACGCGACCCAAATGGCACCCTATTCCCTATATAGTGCACTACTTTTTACCATATCCCTTTACACAGAATGTCTTTGTTCTGAAGTTCACAATCCTTTTTACAGAATATCTTTATTTTGATAACCTGCTTAAGTTGACCATCCTTTACAGAATATCTTTGTTTTGATCACCTGTTGTAGTTGACCATCCTTTACAGAATATCTTTGTTTTGATAACCTGTTGTAGTTGACCATCCTTTACAGAATATTTTTGTTTTGATCACCTGTTGTAGTTGACCATCCTTTACAGAATATCTTTGTTTTGATCACCCGTTGTAGTTGACCATCCTTTACAGAATATCTTTGTTTTGATCACCCGTTGTAGTTGACCATCCTTTACAGAATATCTTTGTTTTGATAACCCGTTGTAGTTGACCATCCTTTACAGAATATCTTTGTTTTGATCACCCGTTGTAGTTGACCATCCTTTACAGAATATCTTTGTTTTGATCACCCGTTGTAGTTGACCATCCTTTATAGAATATCTTTGTTTTGATCACCCGTTGTAGTTGACCATCCTTTACAGAATATCTTTGTTTTGATCACCCGTTGTAGTTGACCATCCTTTACAGAATATCTTTGTTTTGATCACCCGTTGTAGTTGACCATCCTTTACAGAATATCTTTGTTTTGATCACCCGTTGTAGTTGACCATCCTTTACAGAATATCTTTGTTTTGATCACCCGTTGTAGTTGACCATCCTTTACAGAATATTTTTGTTTTGATCACCCGTTGTAGTTGACCATCCTTTACAGAATATCTTTGTTTTGATCACCCGTTGTAGTTGACCATCCTTTACAGAATATCTTTGTTTTGATCACCCGTTGTAGTTGACCATCCTTTACAGAATATCTTTGTTTTGATCACCCGTTGTAGTTGACCATCCTTTACAGAATATCTTTGTTTTGATCACCCGTTGTAGTTGACCATCCTTTACAGAATATCTTTGTTTTGATCACCCGTTGTAGTTGACCATCCTTTACAGAATATCTTTTTGTTTTGATCACCCGTTGTAGTTGACCATCCTTTACAGAATATCTTTGTTTTGATCACCCGTTGTAGTTGACCATCCTTTACAGAATATCTTTGTTTTGATCACCCGTTGTAGTTGACCATCCTTTACAGAATATCTTTGTTTTGATCACCCGTTGTAGTTGACCATCCTTTACAGAATATCTTTGTTTTGATCACCCGTTGTAGTTGACCATCCTTTACAGAATATCTTTGTTTTGATCACCCGTTGTAGTTGACCATCCTTTACAGAATATCTTTGTTTTGATCACCCGTTGTAGTTGACCATCCTTTACAGAATATCTTTGTTTTGATCACCCGTTGTAGTTGACCATCCTTTACAGAATATCTTTGTTTTGATCACCCGTTGTAGTTGACCATCCTTTACAGAGTGTCTCCTCTCTGTGATCACATAATGCTGCCAGGGTTTGTCCATGGAACGGATGTGTTCCTTAGCCTTCACCCTCAGTGCTGCGATGCTGCTACTGTGTTCCAGGTCCTTAGCAGAGGGTACTTATCATTGAAGCTGGGGGGGCACTGGTAGGGTGGCGGGGCCATAGACTGCATCCCCTGTACCATCACACCATGTCCTGGTGGACTGTCGAGGAAGCCATGGCTGTGGCTATGGGAGTGGGAGTGGTTGGGGTAGGCAGGCTGAAGGTGAGGGCCCTGCCCTAGGCCTGTATATCCGGGGATAGTGTGCATTGGGGTGGCGCTGGGCATGGACAAGGCCAGCCAGGGGTCCAGGGGTAATGGGTTGGACATGGGCCCCACATTGGAGGGCATGGGCGGCCGGTTGAAGGACAGCATGGGGAAGTTGTGGAGCTTTGTTGAGCTGGAGTCCATCTTCTCCTGACGTCTCCACTTAGCCCGACGGTTCTGGAACCACACCTGGACACGGACAGAGAGGATACCCTAGTATTAGTCTAAAGTAGTCACTCAGTAGTGTACACTACATCGTATTACAATAATAGTAGTAATAATAGTATTTGTAGATTGTGTTGTTGTTGATGTTTTACTTCAAAGTAAAAAAAAATGGCCTGGACTAAACTATTCAGAATTCAAATCAATTTGGTTGGAGGCAGGTGATTCTCATTTACTGTGTAATTTATCTCACCTGTGGTAAGTTGCCGGTGCCTACTGGTTAAAAATAGTCATTGAACCAGTTTTAAAAAGAGAAAACAGAACATTCTGCTCCACTCCATTTTAAAGTGTACCAATATATAATATATTTGACGGCAACTGTAGGAGTCTCCACCTCCTAAACAGAATCTCTCAGCCAAAGCATGGGCCAAACTTCCCCTCCCATTCCAACATGTGAAAGATGAGAACACTTGCAAAAACCTGCGTGCCACAGTCTGTGGACAGATGCTATGTAGTGCCAGTAGTAACGCTAGTCTAGTAATAGTTCACAGCAAAAGGCTCCATACCTGGACAGTATTATTAGTGTATAGTAATAGTAGTACTAGATAGGTGGAGGCTCCATACAGTATTATTAGTGTATAGTAATAGTAATAGTAGTATTAGATAGGTGGAGGCTCCATACAGTATTATTAGTGTATAGTAATAGTAGTACTAGATAGGTGGAGGCTCCATACAGTATTAGTAGTGTATAGTGATAGTAATAGTAGTATTAGATAGGTGGAGGCTCCATACAGTATTATTAGTGTATAGTGATAGTAATATTAGTATTAGATAGGTGGAGGCTCCATACAGTATTATTAGTGTATAGTGATAGTAATAGTAGTATTAGATAGGTGGAGGCTCCATACAGTATTATTAGTGTATAGTGATAGTAATAGTAGTACTAGATAGGTGGAGGCTCCATACAGTATTATTAGTGTATAGTGATAGTAATAGTAGTATTAGATAGGTGGAGGCTCCATACAGCATTATTAGTGTATAGTGATAGTAATAGTAGTATTAGATAGGTGGAGGCTCCATACAGTATTATTAGTGTATAGTGATAGTAATAGTAGTACTAGATAGGTGGAGGCTCCATACGGTATTATTAGTGTATAGTGATAGTAATAGTAGTACTAGATAGGTAGAGGCTCCATACAGTATTATTAGTGTATAGTGATAGTAATAGTAGTACTAGATAGGAGGAGGCTCCATACAGTATTATTAGTGTATAGTGATAGTAATAGTAGTATTAGATAGGTGGAGGCTCCATACAGTATTATTAGTGTATAGTGATAGTAATAGTAGTATTAGATAGGTGGAGGCTCCATACAGTATTATTAGTGTATAGTGATAGTAATAGTAGTATTAGATAGGTGGAGGCTCCATACAGTATTATTAGTGTATAGTGATAGTAATAGTAATATTAGATAGGTAGAGGCTCCATACAGTATTATTAGTGTATAGTGATAGTAATAGTAGTACTAGATAGGTGGAGGCTCCATACAGTATTATTAGTGTATAGTGATAGTAATAGTAGTACTAGATAGGTGGAGGCTCCATACAGTATTATTAGTGTATAGTGATAGTAATAGTAGTATTAGATAGGTGGATGCTCCATACAGCATTATTAGTGTATAGTGATAGTAATAGTAGTATTAGATAGGTGGAGGCTCCATACAGTATTATTAGTGTATAGTGATAGTAATAGTAGTATTAGATAGGTGGAGGCTCCATACAGTATTATTAGTGTATAGTGATAGTAATAGTAGTATTAGATAGGTGGAGGCTCCATACAGTATTATTAGTGTATAGTGATAGTAATAGTAGTATTAGATAGGTGGAGGCTCCATACAGTATTATTAGTGTATAGTGATAGTAATAGTAGTATTAGATAGGTGGAGGCTCCATACAGTATTATTAGTGTATAGTGATAGTAATAGTAATACTAGATAGGTAGAGGCTAGATACAGTATTATTAGTGTATAGTGATAGTAATAGTAGTATTAGATAGGTGGAGGCTCCATACAGTATTATTAGTGTATAGTGATAGTAATAGTAGTATTATATAGGTGGAGGCTCCATACAGCATTATACAGCATTATTAGTGTATAGTGATAGTAATAGTAGTATTAGATAGGTGGAGGCTCCATACAGTATTATTAGTGTATAGTGATAGTAATAGTAGTATTAGATAGGTGGAGGCTCCATACAGTATTATTAGTGTATAGTGATAGTAATAGTAGTATTAGATAGGTGGAGGCTCCATACAGTATTATTAGTGTATAGTGATAGTAATAGTAGTATTAGATAGGTGGAGGCTCCATACAGTATTATTAGTGTATAGTGATAGTAATAGTAGTATTAGATAGGTGGAGGCTCCATACAGTATTATTAGTGTAGAGTGATAGTAATATTAGTATTAGATAGGTGTAGGCTTCATACAGTATTATTAGTGTATAGTGATAGTAATAGTAGATAAATGGAGGCTCCATACAGTATTATTAGTGTATAGTGATAGTAATAGTAGTATTAGATAGGCGGAGGCTCCATACAGTATTATTAGTGTATAGTGATAGTAATAGTAGTATTAGATAGGTGGAGGCTCCATACAGTATTATTAGTGTATAGTGATAGTAATAGTAGTATTAGATAGGTGGAGGCTCCATACAGCATTATTAGTGTATAGTGATAGTAATAGTAGTATTAGATAGGAAGAGGCTCCATACAGTATTATTAGTGTATAGTGATAGTAATAGTAGTATTAGATAGGTGGAGGCTCCATATAGTATTATTAGTGTAGAGTGATAGTAATAGTAGTACTAGATAGGTGGAGGCTCCATACAGTATTATTAGTGTATAGTGATAGTAATAGTAGTATTAAATAGGTAGAGGCTCCATACAGTATTATTAGTGTATAGTGATAGTAATAGTAGTACTAGATAGGTGGAGGCTCCATACAGTATTTTTCGTGAATAGTGATAGTAATAGTAGTATTAGATAGGTAGAGGCTCCATACAGTATTATTAGTGTATATTGATAGTAATAGTAGTATTAGATAGGTAGAGGCTCCATACAGTATTATCAGTGTATAGTGATAGTAATAGTAATACTAGATAGGTAGAGGCTCCATACAGTATTATTAGTGTATAGTGATAGTAATAGTAGTACTAGATAGGTGGAGGCTCCATACAGTATTATTAGTGTATAGTGATAGTAATAGTAGTATTAGATAGGTGGAGGCTCCATACAGTATTATTAGTGTATAGTGATAGTAATAGTAGTATTAGATAGGTGGAGGCTCCATACAGTATTATTAGTGTATAGTGATAGTAATAGTAGTACTAGATAGGTGGAGGCTCCATACAGTATTATTAGTGTATAGTGATAGTAATAGTAGTATTAGATAGGTGGAGGCTCCATACAGTATTATTAGTGTATAGTGATAGTAATAGTAGTATTAGATAGATGGAGGCTCCATACAGTATTATTAGTGTAGAGTGATAGTAATATTAGTATTAGATAGGTAGAGGTTCCATACAGTATTATTAGTGTATAGTGATAGTAATAGTAGATAAATGGAGGCTCCATACAGTATTATTAGTGTATAGTGATAGTAATAGTAGTATTAGATAGGTGGAGGCTCCATACAGTATTATTAGTGTATAGTGATAGTAATAGTAGTATTAGATAGGTGGAGGCTCCATACAGTATTATTAGTGTATAGTGATAGTAATAGTAGTATTAGATAGGTAGGGGCTCCATACAGTATTATTAGTGTATAGTAATAGTAGTATTAGATAGGAAGAGGCTCCATACAGTATTATTAGTGTATAGTGATAGTAATAGTAGTACTAGATAGGTGGAGGCTCCATACAGTATTATTAGTGTATAGTGATAGTAATAGTAGTATTAGATAGGTAGAGGCTCCATACAGTATTATTAGTGTATAGTGATAGTAATAGTAGTACTAGATAGTTGAATGCTCCATACAGTATTATTAGTGTATAGTGATAGTAATAGTAGTACTAGATAGTTGAAGGCTCCATACAGTATTATTAGTGTATAGTGATAGTAATAGTAGTACTAGATAGGTGGAGGCTCCATACAGTATTATTAGTGTATAGTGATAGTAATAGTAGTATTAGATAGGTAGAGGCTTCATACAGTATTATTAGTGTATAGTGATAGTAATAGTAGTATTAGATAGGTGGAGGCTCCATACAGTATTATTAGTGTATAGTGATAGTAATAGTAGTAATAGATAGGTGGAGGCTTCATACAGTATTATTAGTGTATAGTGATAGTAATAGTAGTACTAGATAGGTGGAGGCTTCATACAGTATTATTAGTGTATAGTGATAGTAATAGTAGTATTAGATAGGTAGAGGCTCCATACAGTATTATTAGTGTATAGTGATAGTAATAGTAGTACTAGATAGGTGGAGGCTCCATACAGTATTATTAGTGTATAGTGATAGTAATAGTAGTATTAGATAGGTGGAGGCTCCATACCTGGACACGGACCTCAAGGAGGTTGACCTTCATGGCCAGCTGCTCCCGGTTGTAGACGTCAGGGTAGTGGGAATTCTCAAAGGCCTTCTCCAACTCATGGAGCTGGAAGGTGGTGAAGGTGGTGCGGTTACGCCGGTGCTTCTTCTTAGGGTGGTCCTCCTTTGGAGGCTCAGGGGACTTTCCCTCGCTGTCCACCCCCTTCTGGAGGTCTCCCAGGTCCCCGTCACACTTGTCCCTGGAGAAAAGGCCTGACTCTGAAGGTAGACAGTAGAACAGGAGACACAAGTGTTTGTTTAGATATCTGTATTTTGCATGGGAGCTCTCGATTCATCTGGCAGTGCCAGTTCTACTTACCAAAAGTGGCCTACTGTGCAGCTCTCTCTATGGGTGATGTCATAATGTCCGTCTTTCACTGCATTCCTCTGTCCCAGTAATCCCAAGTGGACAGATGTCACCTGTTAAACCTGAGTGTCCTCATGTGCCCTGGGAATGGACAGCTCTAATCTACACCAAGACTGTACTTGTCCTCTGCACTGCCCCAGTCCAGATCATATTTTCTAAGAGGTTGAAGCCCCACTACACATGGCTGATGGATGGTATGATCCAACCTTGTCCAAATCAAGTCAGTCGATATCCAACCAGCTATATCTTATCCAAGCCTGGTCCTAGATCTGGTTTTGTAAAGGTAGAAACATTAAGTCCAACATTTTAGCTATACTGTGGTGATAAACTGTAGTCTCTGAATCTTGAGAAAATGACAACCCAAGCACTGTGTGCTTTCAACTGTCCCTGCCTTTCCTCCTGGATGAGGTTAGCACAGTATGCTTTCAACTGTCCCTGCCTTTCCTCCTGGATGAGGTTAGCACCGTATGCTTTCAACTGTCCCTGCCTTTCCTCCTGGATGAGGTTAGCACCGTATGCTTTCCACTGTCCCTGCCTTTCCTCCTGGATGAGGTTAGCACCGTATGCTTTCAACTATCCCTGCCTTTCCTCCTGGATGAGGTTAGCACCGTATGCTTTCAACTGTCCCTGCCTTTCCTCCTGGATGAGGTTAGCACCGTATGCTTTCAACTGTCCCTGCCTTTCCTCCTGGATGAGGTTAGCACCGTATGCTTTCAACTGTCCCTGCCTTTCCTCCTGGATGAGGTTAGCACTGTGTGCTTTCAACTATCCCTGCCTTTCCTCCTGGATGAGGTTAGCACTGTGTGCTTTAAACTGTCCCTGCCTTTCCTCCTGGATGAGGTTAGCACTGTGTGCTTTCAACTATCCCTGCCTTTCCTCCTGGATGAGGTTAGCACCGTATGCTTTCAACTGTCCCTGCCTTTCCTCCTGGATGAGGTTAGCACCGTATGCTTTCAACTGTCCCTGCCTTTCCTCCTGGATGAGGTTAGCACTGTATGCTTTCAACTGTCCCTGCCTTTCCTCCTGGATGAGGTTAGCACCGTATGCTTTCAACTGTCCCTGCCTTTCCTCCTGGATGAGGTTAGCACCGTATGCTTTCAACTGTCCCTGCCTTTCCTCCTGGATGAGGTTAGCACTGTATGCTTTCCACTGTCCCTGCCTTTCCTCCTGGATGAGGTTAGCACTGTATGCTTTCAACTGTCCCTGCCTTTCCTCCTGGATGAGGTTAGCACCGTATGCTTTCCACTGTCCCTGCCTTTCCTCCTGGATGAGGTTAGCACCGTATGCTTTCAACTGTCCCTGCCTTTCCTCCTGGATGAGGTTAGCACCGTATGCTTTCAACTGTCCCTGCCTTTCCTCCTGGATGAGGTTAGCACCGTATGCTTTCAACTGTCCCTGCCTTTCCTCCTGGATGAGGTTAGCACTGTGTGCTTTCAACTGTCCCTGCCTTTCCTCCTGGATGAGGTTAGCACCGTATGCTTTCAACTGTCCCTGCCTTTCCTCCTGGATGAGGTTAGCACTGTGTGCTTTCAACTATCCCTGCCTTTCCTCCTGGATGAGGTTAGCACTGTGTGCTTTAAACTGTCCCTGCCTTTCCTCCTGGATGAGGTTAGCACTGTGTGCTTTCAACTATCCCTGCCTTTCCTCCTGGATGAGGTTAGCACCGTATGCTTTCAACTGTCCCTGCCTTTCCTCCTGGATGAGGTTAGCACCGTATGCTTTCAACTGTCCCTGCCTTTCCTCCTGGATGAGGTTAGCACTGTATGCTTTCAACTGTCCCTGCCTTTCCTCCTGGATGAGGTTAGCACCGTATGCTTTCAACTGTCCCTGCCTTTCCTCCTGGATGAGGTTAGCACCGTATGCTTTCAACTGTCCCTGCCTTTCCTCCTGGATGAGGTTAGCACCGTATGCTTTCAACTGTCCCTGCCTTTCCTCCTGGATGAGGTTAGCACCGTATGCTTTCAACTGTCCCTGCCTTTCCTCCTGGATGAGGTTAGCACCGTATGCTTTCAACTGTCCCTGCCTTTCCTCCTGGATGAGGTTAGCACCGTATGCTTTCAACTGTCCCTGCCTTTCCTCCTGGATGAGGTTAGCACTGTATGCTTTCAACTGTCCCTGCCTTTCCTCCTGGATGAGGTTAGCACCGTATGCTTTCAACTGTCCCTGCCTTTCCTCCTGGATGAGGTTAGCACTGTGTGCTTTCAACTGTCCCTGCCTTTCCTCCTGGATGAGGTTAGCACCGTATGCTTTCAACTGTCCCTGCCTTTCCTCCTGGATGAGGTTAGCACTGTGTGCTTTCAACTGTCCCTGCCTTTCCTCCTGGATGAGGTTAGCACTGTGTGCTTTCAACTGTCCCTGCCTTTCCTCCTGGATGAGGTTAGCACCGTATGCTTTCAACTGTCCCTGCCTTTCCTCCTGGATGAGGTTAGCACCGTATGCTTTCAACTGTCCCTGCCTTTCCTCCTGGATGAGGTTAGCACCGTATGCTTTCAACTGTCCCTGCCTTTCCTCCTGGATGAGGTTAGCACCGTATGCTTTCAACTGTCCCTGCCCTTCCTCCTGGATGAGGTAATCTAAGTAAACATTGTGACTACTCATTTTACTGCGGAGAAGTGAAAGTCTTAGATATACAGTACCAGTCAAAAGTTTGGACACACCTACTCATTCAAGGGTTTTTCTTTATTTCACTATTTTCTACATTGTAGAATAATTGTGAAGACATCAAAACTATGAAATAACACATATGGAATAATGTAGTAGCCAAAAAAGTGTTAAACAAATCAAAATATCTTTTATATTTGAGATTCTTCAAAGTAGCCACCCTTTGCCTTGATGACAGCTTTGCACACTCTTGGCATTCTCTCAACCAGCTTCACCTGGAATGCTTTTCCAACAGTCTTGAAGGAGTTCCCACATATGCTGAGCACTTGTTGGCTGCTTTTCCTTCACTCGGCCAGGTCATCTGATGCAGCACTCCATCACTCTCCTTCTTGGTCAAATAGCCCTTACACAGCCTGGAGGTGTGTTGGGTCATTGTCCTATTGAAAAACAAATGATAGTCCCACTAAGCGCAAACCAGATGGGATGGCGTATCACTGCAGAATGCTGTGGTAGCCATGCAGGTTAAGTGTGCCTTGAATTCTAAATAAATCACTGACAGTGTCACCAGTAAAGCACCCCCACACCATCACACCTCCTCCATGCTTCACGGTGGGAACCACAAATGCAGAGATCATCCGTTCACCTACTCTGCGTCTCACAAAGACACGGCAGTTGGAACCAAAAATCTCAAATTTGGACTCATCAGACCAAAAGGACAGATTTCCACCGGTCTAATGTCCATTGCTCGTGTTTCTTGGCCCAAGTAAGTATCTTCTTCTTATTGGTGTCCTTTAGTAGTGGTTTCTTTGCAGCAATTCGACCATGAAGGCCTGATTCACAGTCTCCTCTGAACAGTTGATGTTGAGATGTGTCTGTTACTTGAACTCTGTGAAGCATTTATTTGGGCTGCAATCTGAGGTGCAGTTAACTCTAATTAACTTATCCTCAGCAGCAGAGGTAACTCTGGGTCTTCCTTTCCTGTGGCGGTCCTCATGAGAGCCAGTTTCATCATAGCGCTTGATGGTTTTTGCGACTGCACTTGAAGAAACTTTCAAAGTTCTTGAAATGTTGTTTCTCTTTGCTTATTTGAGCTGTTCTTGTCATAATATAATATGGTCTGTATACCACCCCTACCTTGTCACAACACAACTGATTGGCTCAAACGCATAAAGGAAAGAAATTCCACAAATTAACTTTTAACAAGGCACACTTGTTAATTGAAATGCATTCCAGGTGACTACCTCATGAAGCTGGTTGATAGAATGACAAGAGTGTGCAAAGCTGTCATCAAGGCAAATGGTGGCTACTTTGTAGAATCTCAAATATAAAATACATTTAGATTTGTTTAACACTATTTTTGGTTACTACATGATTCCATATGTGTTATTTCATAGTTTTGATGTCTTCACTATTATTCTACAATGTAGAAAATAGTAAAAATAAATAAAAACACTGGAATGAGTAGGTGTGTCCAAACCTCTGACTGGTACATTTTTTTACATTATAGTCATTTAGCAGACGCTCTTATCCAGAGCCACTTACAGTTAGTGAGTGCATACATTATTTGTATTTATTTATTTTATTTTTCATACTGGCCCCCGTGGGAATCGAACCCACAACCCTAGCGTTGCAAACGCCATGCTCTTCCAACTGCCGGCTAGCTGCGCCACTCGTAAGTCTTAGATTGTTTTGGTGTTATCATTATATGAACTGCTATTTCACTGATGTTGTTGCTGTATATGTTATAGATGTTTATGAGCAGTTATTAGCACCTATTTTGTGCATTAGAATGCATCATGCATGTCTCATAATGCGTTATAAGTGTTCTTATAATACATTATGAAGAGGTTATTCATAGGAAGTGATACCTTGTCTCCGTGTAATAAACAGCAGCCAATCACCCAATCAATCAATTAGTTAACCAATAACCGTGGTACTGACCGTGGAAGGCAGAGTGCTGGGTGCTGTCCCCCAGACTGGGGAGGTGTCTGTGGGGGTCTGACTGGCCCTGCTTCCCCTGGTGGTCCTCCAGGCCCTCAGTGTCCACTTTATGGGTCCATTCGTACCCTATGGGGGTGAGCAGGGGGTCCTGGTCCTTACTGAAGCCCAGGGTCAGGTCAATGCTGTGGACCCGTCCTCCTCCGCTAGACCCCCCTCCCTTCACCATGTCATGGTAGTTGTCTGGTAACAGGCAGCCATCGTCCATCATTCCCAAGGTATCCATTGACAAATGCGTCCAAGAAAAGAAGGATGATGTCAAAGAGCACTTCGATGGGGGATCCAGATCTGTCTGTCCTTGGATTTCCTGTCAGTCTGCAAAACAGGGAAAGTTAGACACGTTGATCTCATGAACACAAGAGTTTTGCAGAACGGTTCTGTTGTGAAAGTCCATATGTGCCACTTGCATACGCGTATGCCTCTTGTTAATATTGTGTAGTAGCCCTTTCCTGCAGTCGAATGACCAGAAATGCCATCTAGTGGCCTCATGGGTGGAATATTCTTAATAATTTCATAATTAGTCAACATATCTTTTTTTTTTACCCCACAGAAAATCTGGTGTTTCTATGTCAAACGGTTTTGTTATATTTCAGTCTTCTGTGATGTATATAAAGTGTAATATTGGGATGCAAACACAAAATGTAATACATTTCAACTCTATATCTGACATGGTGCAGGTGTCTTTCTACTCTATATCTGACATGGTGCAGGTGTCTTTCTGCTCTATATCTGACATGGTGCAGGTGTCTTTCTACTCTATATCTGACATGGTGCAGGTGTCTTTCTGCTCTATATCTGACATGGTGCAGGTGTCTTTCTACTCTATATCTGACATGGTGCAGGTGTCTTTCTACTCTATATCTGACATGGTGCAGGTGTCTTTCTACTCTATATCTGACATGGTGCAGGTGTCTTTCTACTCTATATCTGACATGGTGCAGGTGTCTTTCTACTCTATATCTGACATGGTGCAGGTGTCTTTCTACTCTATATCTGACATGGTGCAGGTGTCTTTCTACTCTATATCTGACATGGTGCAGGTGTCTTTCTACTCGATATCTGACATGGTGCAGGTGTCTTTCTACTCTATATCTGACATGGTGCAGGTGTCTTTCTACTCTATATCTGACATGGTGCAGGTGTCTTTCTACTCTATATCTGACATGGTGCAGGTGTCTCCTTTTCTTTGGCCCAAAACCATGTGTGTGAGGTATATACTCTTATTTCAAATCAAATCAAATCAAATTTTATTGGCCACATGCGCCGAATACAACAGGTGCAGATATTACAGTGAAATGCTTACTTACAGCCCTTAACCAACAGTGCATTTATTTTTTACAAAAAAGTAAAAAATAAAACAACAACAAAAAAAGTGTTGAGAAAAAAAGAGCAGAAGTAAAATAAAATAACAGTAGGGAGGCTATATATACAGGGGGGTACCGGTGCAGAGTCAATGTGCGGGGGGCACAGGTTAGTCGAGGTCGTTGAAGTAATATGTATCAAAGTAGATTTGTTTAAGAGTACCAAGAATCACTGTGTGACAATGTAAATAAACAGTAAAATGTTACGCAATGACATATTGGTTGTAATGCATATTACTACAGTAACAATTAATTTCCCTTCAGTTGGAAAACTATTGGGTATATTTGACGCTGCTATGCACAATTCACATCTGATACTACTTGACATTTATACATTACGTTCATTATGAACCCGGACTCTTTTCTGTATCCATCTTTGTCACTTTGTGCACCAGTTTGCATTAACATACAGCATCTCTTTCATAAAGAATTGTATGTATAAAAAAATATAGAAAATAATAATAATACATTGATGTAGGCCTATGTAATTTGCCAGTTAGTTAAAAAATCTGATCTGAAATTATCAAGAAAAGAAGCATTTCAAGGTCCTGGAGTGGCCTAGCCAGTCTCCAGATCTCAACCCCATAGAAAATCTTTGGAGGGAGTTGAAAGTCTGTGTTGCCCAGCGACAGCCCCAAAACATCACTGCTCTAGAGGAGATCTGCATGGAGGAATGGGCCAAAATACCAGCAACAGTGTGTGAAAACCTTGTGAAGACTTACAGAAAACGTTTGACCTGTGTCATTGCCAACAAAGGGTATATAACAAAGTATTGAGAAACTTTTGTTATTGACCAAATACTTATTTTCCACCATAATTTGCAAATAAATTCATTAATAATCCTACAATGTGATTTTCTGGAGAAAAAAATTCTCAATTTGTCTGTCATAGTTGACGTGTACCTATGATGATAATTACAGGCCTCTCTCATCTTTTTAAGTGGGAGAACTTGCACAATTGGTGGTCGACTAGGGGAGGGAATGGCCGGCAGGGATGTAGCTCAGTTGGTAGAGCATGGCGTTTGCAACGCCAGGGTTGTGGGTTCGTTTCCCACGGAGGGCTAGTATTTTAAAAAATATATATATATGTATGCACTAACTGTAAGTCGCTCTGGATAAGAGCGTCTGCTAAATGAATAAAATGTAAATGTAAATGTTATGTATAGCTAGCTACATTTATCAACAGGGCTAATAAAACATGGAATGGACCAGTTCTAAGATTATATAGTAAATCATCTTTGACCCTTGAAACATGGGTCTATGAATAAATACTGTAGTTACTTTCCCCCCCAAAAACGTATAAATCTGTCTTTGATTTTATAATTTTTTAGGAGAGACAATAGATGCATTCAAATGAAGTAGCCTATACCTTATGCCATTGGAAAAACAGACTGCAGCGAAATTAAATGAAGAATTATCTTAACAATAATGATATCTTCCAAAACAAATAGTAGTTTCAACTAAGTGGCAGTAGTTCTATCAACTCAAAATAAACAGCAATAATATCACTAGCAGCATGTGTAAATGTACTTACCTCTATCCAGGTAACTTAGTTACAGTATACATCCTCAACCAGTGCTGAGCCAGGCGTTGTGGCTCCTCTCTCTGACAAGTTGTAAATGACTGTGGATGGGAGTTCTGTTAGCAGTGCACCTAATCCTCCCAACCGGCTAAGTCCTCGAAAGTCTGTAAGCATATACAGTGAGCAAAGTAATAAGTATTGAAATTCTCTGTAACAAGGCAACGGAGTTCCTCCCTCTTTTGGCTCCCTGTCCTGTGGTCCAGGTGGAGTGGGCGAGGCCATCACCGGAGCTCCTGAGGCCTACAGGTGTGCCATGTTAATTTGACCAGTTTCTCACAGCAGGAAAATAATCCTGCAGCAACAGGACATGTGAATTATTATGTGGATTATAATTAATGGACATGTTTCTAGGTGTTGATAAATAATTTTGTTAGGGCAAATCAAGTCTGAGATTTTAAAGTGGAAATTACAAACTTTAGAAGCCTCTTCAAATCTTGAATAAACGACAAGTTTGCATTTCCTGCTGTGCCAGAAAATTCTCTATGACAACAGTGACCAAATTAAGATAGCACATATAGTCAGGTCCAAAATGATAGGCACCCTTGATAAAGATGAGCAAAAAATACTGTATAAAATAAACAATACAAATACTGAGCTACATTATATATACAAAAGTATGTGGACACCCCTTCAAATTAGTGGATACGGCTATTTCAGCCACACCCGTTGCTGACAGGTGTATAGAATCGAGCACACAGCCATGCAATCTCCATAGACAAATATTGGCAGTAGAATGGCCTTACTGAAGAGCTCAGTGACTTTCAATGTTGCACCGTCATAGGATGCCACCTTTCCAACAAGTCAGTTCGTCAAATTTCTGCCCTGCTAGAGCTGCCCCGGTCAACTGTAAGTGCTGTTATTGTGATGTGGAAACGTCTAGAAGCAACAACGGCTCAGCCACTGAAGCGCGTAGCGCGCAAAAATAATCTGTCCTCGGTTGCAACACTCACTACAGAGTTGCAAACTGTCTCTGGAAGCAACATCAGCACAATAACTGTTCATCGGGAGCTTCATGAAATGGCTTTCCATGGCCGAGCAGCCGCACACAAGCCTACCATCACCATGCGCAATGCCAAGCGTCGGCTGGAGTGGTGTAAAGCTCGCCGCCATTGGACTCTAGAGCAGTGGAAAAACGTTCTCTGGAGTGATGCATCATGCTTCACCATCTGGCAGTCCGACGGACGAATCTGAACGCTACCTGCCCGAATGCATAGTGCCAACTGTAAAGTTTGGTGGTGGAGGAGGAATAATGGTCTGGAGCTGTTTTTCATGGTTCGGACACGGCCCCTTAGTTCCAGTGAAGGGAAATCTTAACGCTACAGCATACAATTACATTCTATACGATTCTGTGCTTCCAACTTTGTGCCAACAGTTTGGGGAAGGCCCTTTCCTGTTTCAGCATGACAATGCCCCCGTGCACAAAGCGAGGTCCATACAGAAATGGTTTGTTGAGATCGGTGTGGAAGAACTTGACTGGCCTGCAGAGAGCCCTGACCTCAACCCCATCGAACACCTTTGGGATGAATTGGAACGCCGACTGGCACCCCTGTTTTCCATAACTTTCAATACCTCACCTTGCGAGGATAATGTTTTATGAGATTGGACACATTGGGAGGGTTCTTATACAGAGGAGGCTGGTGGGAGGAGCTATAGGAGGACGGGCTCATTGGAATGGAATAAATGCAACAGTCAAACATGTGGTTTCCATATTTGATTTTATTCCATTCCAGCCATTACAATGAACCTGTCCTCCTATAGCTCCTCCCACCAGCCTCCACTGATCTTAGACCATTCCTCCATACAGAATCTTTATAGATCCTTGATATCATTCGTCTGCACTTATGGACTGCCCTCTTTAATTCAAACCACAGGTTTTCAATTGGGTTAAAGTCTGGAGACTGAGATGGCAATTGCAAAATGTTGATTTTGTGGAATAACTATTTATTTGTGGATTTTGATGTGGAAGGGAGTGCTCTGTCCGTACACTCCACACCTCTACCCTTGATTAGAACTAAACGCACCAGGTGGGCCGGCGAGACAGAGGAGTAAATCGCTCTGGATAAGAGCGTCTGCTAAATGACGTAAATGTAAATGTAGAGTGCGTCATTAGTGGCCACCGTCACATTGTGTAGAAACGAGAACAGTAACAGCTGGGACTCTCACCACTTGCCTCCTTTTCTAGGTTTCATGAAGGAATCTCTTTCTGAGAAGCTGTAGCGGCAACCTGCCAAGCCCATTAGAAGTGAGTATGGGCGCTAAACTCTGACATGATTTCTGACTGGTTGTAGTTATACACGTGCCATTAGAAGGGGATTTGGACGCTAAACTCCCGAGACATGATTTCTGCCGTGTTCACGTGTTAGACGGAACTCTGACATTTCCAACGCGCTAACTGGTTTTAGTGATAAATACACATATACACGTGCCACGTTTTAGCAGTTAGCAAGTCGGAAATGTCAGAGTTTCGACTAGTTCGTGAACGTAGCAGAAATACCTGGGTTGAATGGTGCAGATGTAGGAGTATCGCGTTATTCACAACCCACGCTGTTAACAGGGCAGGCCTCCGGTTTTGACTAGCAGAAGTGACTTTTCGTAGCAGGTTAGGAGAATTTACGCAGCCGGTTAGTATAATTAACGTGGCAGGTTAGGAGAATTAGGTTAACGTTAGGAAAAGGGTTAGGATTAGCTAAAATTGTCCCCGACTTAACTCGGAACATATCTAGCCGGCCCTGAGAACATCCTCCGTTTCCTCTGTGATTCTACGTCTAAATAGCAGACCAGATGTACAGTGGATAATCCCACCACTTTAGCTCCTTAGCCCCTTAGTCTACAGGCCATGCTACTGTACATTGCCAATTGTTTCAGGCATTATTGCCAGTAAGCGTTTCTAAGTAACTCCTTGTCTTAGTGGAATTGGTTTCGATGAAACAAGCTCTTTGGCTTTAATGTGACCAGTACTGGCCAGAAGATCCAGGGTACAGTCTTCGCCAGGCACTGCCCGCATCAACGGTGCCAACTGTCGTAGTAAATATATAATGTTATAGCTTGGTCTGACCAAAATCTTGTGCATGACCCATTTTGCGTTGGGCCTTTGTATTTAATACAAAGCACAAGAGACTTCTATCTTGCCGGCCTTATCAGCAGGTGGCTATGGACAACACCCACGCCATAGGTCTCTCAGTTCTTCCAACTCACGAGTTCTTGCGCTGAGGACACACACACACACACACACCCCCACACACATACACACACACACACACACACATCTTCATTGTTAAACATACACACACACACATACATACACACACGCACACACACACATCATCATTGTTAAGCACACACACACACAAAAAACCCCTTCTCTTAGGCTGAACATCTGAAGACAGAGAACCCGACTCAGAGCCAATGCAACAGTGACACTAGCCTGGAGGTGACCTCGCCCAACTCATCAGGACCAATCAGAAGATCAGAACTACTAGAATCAACCTACTTCATTTTATTGTATAAAATGTCAGCACACAATGTTTAGGGGCTCGCTCTCTCAGATATCTCCCTACGAGATTGACGAACGGGTCCGTGCACGCTATTTACAGATATCTTTACCTCTGAATAAACTGCCTTATATTATACAATTATCCACCTTGTCCGAAAGTCTCTACTTGGTCTCCGTTCTCCAGTAAACTTGTGATCATCAACACAACCAGGTAGCCACACACACACAAATGTATTTAATTATAATTGTTCACGGCTGTTGACGTTGTTTTGTCTGCAGTTTTAGACCCCGTCGTAGATAAAAAAGGTATTGAACGGAAGATGCTGAAAATACATTGGCATCCTGACCTGGGAGTACAGTGCTTTCTCTACCGTGCCACAGGATCTGATTTGCTTTCCATATTAATAAATAAACACTGAAATAATGAATCAACGTCTGATGTCTTGTTGATATGCTGTACAATTCATCTAAAAATCTGTCCATTTCTGGAAATGGAGGTAGTAGCTAGTATCATTACGTAACAAAATAGAATGGCGACGTTGTAAAATTAGAAGGACATACATTCCTGTTCAATTGGAACGTTCCGTGCCGGCTGGACCTGACCGAAAGATTTACAGAGTGTTGTTACACGGTGTGATGGTAGGAGTGTCTAACTCATTGATTCTCATTAGAAGCCTGGATAATACACGGTGTGTTTTTATTTTATAATTAGGTCCATTATGTAGTTGTAAGACCCAAATCATTTCAGATAGAAATGTGAGTTATAGATCTGTCATTCCAATTAAAAAGGTAGTCTGCTAAACGGTAGATCCGTTCTGTGTATTTTACTTTCAGCTTAAGGACAGCTGAAAATACAATGTGTGTGGTTATTGAAGATATATTTCACAGCAGTTTAGGTGATAATGATTCTCTAGAGTCTACAGGGAATAGAGTCAGACACTCAGGCCCTCCATACAAAACAGGACCATGGAGAAGTGGGGGGTTTTATGGATTTAATGGTCTCTGTTTAAAGGTGATACACAGTACATACAAAAATACCTTTTCAAATACAACTTGTTGCCCTACAAAAACAACTGATAAATGACTTGTTAATCGTTTCTCAAAATGCACAACAAAAAGAAGAGAGTTGTTGAAAACAGAGTGGTGTAAAAGTCATTGAGAGAGCCCTAAGCTGCTAGAATGGATGATATAAAATGGTAGAAATACACAAAGCAATAAGAAAAAAAAAAAAAAAACATTAATGAAGAGAATACGCCTTTTAAATACATAGGGCACGACCCAAATGGCACCATATTCCCTATATAGTGCACTACTTTTGACCAGAGACCCCATGTAGGGAATTGGGTGCCATTTTGGGATGCATACAAGATGCTTTTCTGTAATTCCTACCGGGGTAGAATGTAGAGAGAAAACACTGTTTGGAAAGGGAGAGCAGGGACTGTACACACAAAGGTTCTCAGAGCACCACTGCTGATCAACAAATGGGTTTTGCCATTTAAATCATAACATTACATGGACACGGGGGACCTGATCCCAGATCAGCACTCCTACTCTGAGAAGTTTTGTGAGTGTGAGTCCTGAAATCTGATTTGAGAGGTCAACTCCTCGACTAGGCTGCATCTGAAAAGGGCACCCTATTCCATATATAGTGCACTTCTTTTGAGCAGGGCCAGATAGGGCTCTGGTCTAAAGTAGTACACTATGTAGGGAATAGGGTGCTATTTGGGACTTAGCCCAGGATGACCCCAGGAGACGCCATGTTTAAGAACCTCCACGGGAGGCGCTGAGGGCCAACACCCCACACTAAGGGAATTACAACACACACACACACACACACACACACACACACACATCCTCACACACCAGCAAAAGCATTACACCCTTTACGCAACACAACTCCAGTGGTGAACCACCTCACAACCATTATCCTACTAGCTCAACACAACCCTCCATGTTTAGGACAGTCCCTGGGTTCTAGTGCTGCCTGGGGAACAGTACCCTACCCTTCTATAAACACACCTGATTCTACTAATGAGCTGCCCCTAAGGACTCTGGTTGGCTGAATCAGGTGTGTGAATCTAGTGTAGGGCTGGAGCAAAAGCCTACAATACCCAGTAGCTCTCCAGGAGGGTTGGTGACCTCTATTCTAGTGGGTGTCAAAGCTTGAGAGAACATACAGGAGGTCCTGTTAACCTAGAGGGATCATACAGGATGTCCTGTTAACCTAGAGGGATCATACAGGATGTCCTGTTAACCTAGAGGGATCAAACAGGATGTCCTGTTAACCTAGAGGGATCATACAGGAGGTCCTGTTAACCTAGAGAGGACATACAGAAGGAAAAAAGGGAGGTACTATCTGAACTTGTCCAAAACGGAATGCTCATTTTAGATTTCTGTTGCAAAACGTTTTGATACGTTGGGCCCAAATGAAAACGACCCAGGTGGATGAGTCTACTGGGTGGGAAGGCTGCGATTGGCTATCAAGGTCATGTTGTGATGCGGTTGACAAACAGTGGGGAAAAAGACATTTTTTTACCTTTTTTTTTTTTTTTACATTTTAGATCATAAAACTATAATACAGCTGTATGGAACGACTAAACGTCTGTGATTATTTTTCTCTTTTTAAAGACGAGCTATGTACAATAAACTACACCTACTGTAGAAGTTTTCCATTTGTCAAAACATTACGATGGTACAGAAGGATGCAGTAGCAAGCACCGACACGTTAAGGCCATTTAAAACACTGAACTAAACAGTAAAGGAAGAGGGGGGGGGTGGGGGGGGGATCCCCCCAAAAATAAATACATCCAACTCTTCTCCAACCCAATCTTAAAATCAGCTCAACTGGGAAGGACCATAGAAACAGATGACATTTTTGGGGAAAAAAGGGACTGTCGTTGCCCATCGTCCAGTGACGGGGACGGGGGGGGGTAGGAGAGTTAAAAATCTGCGTCCTCACTAGGTTTTACCACAGTAGTCTTGATTTTGGATCTCTCAGGTCTGGAGCTAGTCAGTGTTGTAGGTCCAGGCCTCGTGGAGGAAGGGGTTTGGGAGTGGGACAAGGGGACGCTTTACCTGGGGTTACCTGTGCCTGTTGAGGGCTAGTCTGATTGAGTTCTTTACCACCCGCTGGTGGTTACTGCTGGGGAGGGGGGAGGTCACGTCTGGCAGCTCCATACTGGGAAGTCTCTGGAGAATGGACACATGCATGAAGAGACACACAAAAGCAGACACGCGCACACACATGCATGAACACAGACACACACATTATGAGATTTCAAATCAACGACTAATTTGAAGACTGCTTTCACGTATTCTCGCTCATAAAAGTCAGTTAAGTACCTGTGTTCTTGATGTGTCGATAGTTGGAATAGGCATAGCCTTTACCCCACCAAGACTTTCCTGTTAAGAGACAAAAAAGAAATTAAATGCCATACACTGATAAAACCTCTGACATTGAAATAGCAATTTAAAAGAATAATGTGAGGTGTGTATTTCTAGAGTTCAGTTGGTGTTCGGTGGGTTAAAAGAAGAGAACTCACGATGTCCACTCCGTCTCCTTGCTCCTGGCCGGCGCTAGATAAAGGGAAGGGCTCCTTGAATGCAGAGTCGTCACCGGACACCAGCTGGAGAGAGCGAGAGAAAGTGAGAGACTGACAACATCATGACCTCATTAACCTGTGCAAAAACGTTTCCCAAAAAAGTGTGTCCAGACTGAATTCATATTTATACAGCTCCAGTGAGACAATAGTGAAAAGTAGCATGATTAATAAGTGCATCGACGACGTCGTCCCCACAGTGACCGTACGTACATATCCCAACCAGAAGCCATGGGTTACAGGCAACATCCGCACTGAGCTAAAGGCTAGAGCTGCCGCTTTCAAGGAGCAGGACACTAATCCGGACACTTATAGGAAATCCCGTTACGACCTCCAACGAGCCATTAAACAGGCAAAGCGGCAATACAGGACTAAGATTGAATCCTACTACGACGGCTTTGACGCTCGTCGGAGGTGGCAGGGCTTGCAAACTATCACGGATTACAAAGGGAAACCCAGCCGCAAGCTGCCCAGCGACGCGAGCCTACCAGACGGGCTAAATGCCTTTTATGCTCGCATCGAGGCAAGCAACACTGAGCCATGCATGAGGGAAACTGGACTTCCTGACGGGCCGCCCACAAGCGATGAGGGTAGGCAACAACACATCCGCCACGCTGACCATCAACACGGGGCCCCTCAGAGGCGTGTGCTTAGCTCCCTCCTGCACTCCCTGTTCAACCACGACTGCATTGCCCTGCACGACTCCAACAAGTTTGGAGGGACTAAGTCGATTTGGATAAAAGCGTCTGCTAAATGGCATATTATATTATTATTATATTATACGTTTGCTGACGACACGACGGTGGTAGGACTGATCATTGACGATGAGGCAGCCTATAGGGAGGTCGTCAGAGAACTGGCAGTGTGGTGCCAGGACAACAACCTCTCCCTCAACGTCAGCAAGACAAAGGAGCTGATCATGGACTACAGGAAATGGAGGACCGAGCACACCCCCATTCACATCGATGGGGCTGTAGTGGAGCGGGTCACGAGTGTCAAGTACCTCGGTGCTCACATCACTAAGGAATTAACATGGTCCACACACACAGTTGTGAAGAGGGCACAACATCGCCTCTTCCCCCTCAGGAGGCTGAAAATATTTGGCTTTGGCCCTCCGATCCTCAAACGGTTCTACAGCTGCACCATTGAGAGCATCTTGACTGGCTGCATCACCGCCTGGTATGGTAACTGCAAGGGACCCGAACGCAAGGCGCTACAGAGGGTGGCGAGTACAGGCCAACACATCACTGGGGCCGAGCTCCCAGCCACCCAAGCCATAGACTGTTCTCTTTGCTACTGCACGGCAAGTAGTACCAGTGCACCATGTCTGGAAGCAACAAGATCCTGAACAGCTTCTACCCCCAAGCCATAAGACTGCTTGCTAAACAGCTAATCAAATTGCTACCTGCATTCACCATTTTTCCACTGGACTGTCTATTATCTATCCTGTTGCCTAGTCACTTTACCCCTACCTATATGTACATAGCTACCTTGATTACCTCGTACCCCTCCACATCGACTCGGTACTGCTACTTCCTGTATATAGCCATGTTATTACCTGCTACTTCCTGTATATAGCCATGTTATTACCTGCTACTTCCTGTATATAGCCATGTTATTACCTGCTACTTCCTGTATATAGCCATGTTATTACATTTTTAACCTTTTTTTTTTTGGTCATTTAGCAGACGCTCTTATCCAGAGCGACTTACAGTTAGTGAGTGCATTCATTTTTTATTTTTAATTTTAATTTTTTTATACTGGCCCCCCGTGGGAATCGAACCCACAACCCTGGCGTTGCAAACGCCATGCTCTACCAACTGAGCTACATCCCTGCTACTTCCTGTATATAGCCATGTTATTACCTGGTACTTCCTGTATATAGCCATGTTATTACCTGCTACTTCCTGTATATAGCCATGTTAATTTTACTCATTGTTATTCACTGTGTATTTATTCCTTGTGTCACTATTTCTATATTTGATCTTTAACTCTGCATTGTTGGAAAATAACCTGTCAGTAAGCATTTCACTGTTAGTCTACGAAGCATGTGACAAATAACATTTGACATGATTTAGTCTGGATGTGGAGGATAGTCCTGGACATATCCATCCAGGGACCACTCCCTCTCCTCACCAGATCTGCAGTGTCTCGGATCCTCTTGGGGGGTTCGTCCTGTGTGGGGGAGTGAGGTCTCTTGGCTGCAGTAGTGGCTCCGTTCTGGTTCTGCTCTGTCGGGCTGCTAGTATCTCTAGGGGAGCCCAGGCAGGGTCCAACGCTCCTGCCTACTACTGTAGGAATGGTGCTGACTGCTGGAGGACTACCCTGGGAGGTGAGTGACACAGAACATTCATGTTGTGTTCTAATCACAAAGTGGCATTTACACCAAGCGATTGATGACGTCAACAAAGGACATTTGTCTTTTTTAAATTGCGTATTGTGTGTGCGTTTCTTGAATCCTGTTAACGGGGGGTAAAACAGGTGTCCTCACCACATTGACTCCATCCCCTTGCTCCCTGCCGTCGCTAGATGGAGGGTACGGCTCCTTGAAGGCCAAGTCATCAGCCAGCTGTACACAAAGCACAGAGACAAAGAGAACGTGTAAGAGATCACCCTGACCCGTGCACATCGTTTTAGTTCAAACTGACAGGAGTCATTGTTTTCTATGGGAGCTCTAGCAAGCCTGCAACAGAGACTTTTAAAATGGAGAGGCTCTGTTGCGTAATCTAGACGTAACCTATGTTCTGGGGGTGGCGGTGCATTCGTTTTACAATACAAATTCAACTGACGGGTTCTGCAGTGTCTTTGAGTCTCTTGGACTGCTCCTCCAGCGTAGGGGAATGGAGTCTCTTGACTGCAGCAGCAGCGGAGGCGCCGTTCTGGTCTGTAGGGCTGGTGCTGCCAGGGAGAGGGACCACGGTCCTACCCACTACTGTAGGAATGGTGCTGCCGGCTGGGGCCGCTGGGGCAGAGGGTTTGGAAGCTGCAACCACAGACTCTGTATATAGGGAAAGAGCGAGGGTGGAAAGAGCGAGAGGGGGAAAGAGAGAGAGGGGGGGACAGTGAGAGATGAGACATTCCTTTAGCGCAATTTTTCACAGCAGTGACTTTCAAAAACACTAATATGTATACCATGTGTATCTGAGAGGAGAGGAACGCTGATACTCACTTGATCCGATGACTGGGATGGACATACCCTGCTCCTGCTCGGTCCTGGGTGGAGAGACGTCTGGCACCGAGGAGCTCATCTCCACAAACAGAGAGACTGGTGGCTTGGGAGGTGTCACACTGCACGGGGCAGGACGAGAAAAGGAATATGGTTATATTCATAATTAATCTATTAAGTTAATTTGAAAATTATGATGACCTGAAACAAGGTACATGAAATAATAAAAATATACATTTCATTTATTTTATTCATTTTGTCAATTGTGGAAAGAAAATGTATACATCTGTATCTTAGAATAAATCAATTTGGAAACAAATCCCAAAACTTTCTGGTGCCAAATGGTACCATTATGCTAAGTAGTGAGGAGGTACACATGAATAGATTTCATTTGACATATCTTCTGCTGTAGCCTAGAAGTCTCCCTGGTTCTCCCCCTGTCCTATGTGTGGTGTACCCACCTGTCGTCTGTGTCCGAGGCAGCCGGCCTGGACGGCTTGCAGACGGGGTTGGGCGAGCTGAAGGGAGTCCCTGAGTCGGTGTCTCTGGAGCTGTCCAGCTGACTGCCGTCAAGAGAGGAACGCTTGGAGCCTCCGCTGTTAGCGCTACGGTTCAGCTCCACTATGCTCTGTAGTGAGGGGAGTGGGGAAAGATGGGGGAGTGGGGAAAGATGGGGGAGTGGGGGGGGACAAGTAGAGAACAAAGCTTAGTACGAAGCCATTCACAAGATCGTGATTTGTTCAAATGCATTTCTTAATAAATATATGTCTAAAGTACACACTGGCTTTCTCAATTCATCTTCCCTGAATATCCCCTCTCCTGGCCCCCTTCTCAAAACGCATTGATAACCAGGGCCGAGGGGAGGGACCTTGCAATAAGGTTGAGAAGGAGACAAGGAATATCCCCTCTCCTGGCCCCCTTCTCAAAACGCATTGATAACCAGGGCCGAGGGGAGGGACCTTGCAATAAGGTTGAGAAGGAGACAAGGAATGACAGAAAGAATTGAGCGAGAGCCTCTGTCTGAAGAGAGCGTCCATCTTACCCTCTTCTTCTTCTGCACCAGCTCAGCAGGAAGGTACTGGTGGAGCTGCTTCTTTTTCACATGCGTAGCTTCGATCTTCATCCCATCCTTCAGCATGTTGATGTTGTTGGCCTGCCTGTAAACTGCAGCAAGGGGTCATGGGACATGGAGTCATTTAGAGCTCCCTCTACCAGCATAGACAGATGGTAAAAGGGATGGTTCACTTAAATTACACATTGGTTTCCTTACCATATAAGCAGTCTATGAATTTTTTTGGGGTTTGGTTTAGTTTCCCTGGCACTGTTTCCACATGCTAACGTTTTACCATTTGTGGCACAAATCCCACTCAAGTCATGGGACCGCTATTAGCATTTTTCGCACATCATGTTGAAATCATCCAAAAGTATCTAGAATTGATTGTGAAGCTCAAAGTCACAGATTTGAACATGATGCGCCAAAAATGCTAATATCAGTCCCATGGCTTGAATGGGATTTGTGCCACAAATGCTAAAACGTTAGCATGTGGAAACAGTGCCAGGGAAACTAAAACAAAGCATGGACTGTTGTCAGCAATCTGTTACAGGCTAAGGAAACCAATATGTCATTTTGTAATTTGGGTGAACTAACCCTGTGTGTGTGTGTATATATATATGGTTGTCCCACTGGCTAGTTGAATGCACCAATTTGTAAGTCGCTCTGGATAAGAGCTTCTGCTAAATGACTTAAATGTAAATGTATGGTATTACCTGTGTCTGTGAAGGACTGGATGTCATAGGTCAGGTCGATGTTGACGCTCTCTGCGTTCTCCACTTTCTTGAAGATGATCCCAATGAACCACATGGAGACAAACTCGTTCCTTTTGGAAGACAACACAAATATCAGCTGGGTACACGGAGACAAACTGCTTCCTGATGGAAGACCCACCACTAATATCAGCTGGGTACATGTAGACAAACTGCTTCCTGATGGAACACATTTAGTTACTATGACTAAGATGTGGTTGTCTCACCTAGTTACCTTAAGATGGATCCACTAACTACGTCGCTCTGGATAAGAGCATTTGCTAAATCACTAAAATGTATATGTAAAAATGCTAACCAGCGTTAGCGCAATGAAGCAGATACCCATAGACTTCCAGTCATTGCGCTAATGCTAGTTAGCAATTGCGGTAGCGCTAATCATCTACTTCCTTCAAACTGCACGCAAAATGGTATTCACGAGTTCATCTGACTCTGGGGAAGTAGATAAAGGGCCTCAGTGCCAAAACCTTAAAGTATTCCTTTAAGTGAAATCTCCACCCATGCTGGGCACCAGGCCATGCAAAACGAACTCGCTCATTGCAAAAAGGTTTTAAAAAAAGTTTCCGTCTTGTGCCCTAATGAACACAACCCCAGGTTTCTGGTGCCTTCAAACTTCACAAAAAGGTGTGGAGTCTAGAGACTCACTCGCTACAGCTCTCCTTGTTCCCGGGGAAGGATGTGGGGTTGACGTGTGCCAGGGTGATGTACTCGTTCCTCTCCAGGTTCCCCACCAGGACACGGATCTTAGACTCCACCAGACCAATCCTAGAGGGAGAGGAACAGACAGGAGGTTCATAACATTACTGGGGTCAGAGCCATATAGTTTAGAGTTGGGCCACCTTTTAGAACGGACGCCTTGTTAGCACCTTTGAGCATTCCATTTATCCATTAATGACGAGAATTTGGAATCTTGTACAAAGCATTGTTTAAATTTCAGAAAATGTTGTGAACTGCTATTGGTCAATATTGCCCATTGGGACATAACATGGCTGCCATAGAATGTAGTGTCATGTACAGTGCCTTCAGCAAGTATTCACACCCCTTGACTTTTTCCACATTTTATTGTGTTACAGCCTGAATTTAAAATGGTTTAAATTGAGATTTTGTGTCACTGGCCTACACACAATACCCGATAAATGTCAAAGTGGAATGATGTTTTTTGAAATTTACAAATTAATAAAAAATGAAAAGCTGAAATGTCTTGAGTCAATAAATAAGGGCGGTTTTCCAAAGCCTCAAAAAGGAAGGGCACTATTGGTAGATACGTTGTTTTTTTTAAGCAGACATTGAATATCCCTTTGAGAATGGTGAAGTTATTAATTACACTTTGGATGGTGTATCAATACACCAAGTCACTACAAGGATACATGCGTCCTTCCTAACTCAGTTGCCTGAGGGGAAGGAAACCTGTAGCTTAGTTGGTAGAGCATGGTGCTTGCAACGCCAGGGTTGTGGGTTCGTTTCCCACGGGGGGCCAGTATGAAAATGTATGCACTCACTAACTGTAAGTCGCTCTGGATAACAGCGTCTGCTAAATGACTAAAAAGTAAAATGAAACCGCTCAGGGATTTCACCATGAGGCCAATGATGACTTTAAAACAGTTAGAGTTTAATGGAGAAAACGGAGAATGGATCAACAACATTGTAGTTACTCCACAATACTAACCTAAATGACAGAGTGAAAATAAGGTAGCCTGTACAGAATACAAATATTCTAAAACCTGCATCCTGTTTGAAATAAGGCAGTAAAATAAAACTGCCAAAAATGTGGCCATTTTTTTAGTATGTCCTGAATACAAAGCGTTATGTTTGGGGCAAATTCAATGCATCACATCACTGAGTACCACTCTTTATACTTTCAAGCATGGTGGTGGCTGCATCGTGTTATGGGTATGCTTGTCATCGGCAAGGACTAGGGAGTGTTTTTAGGATACAAATAAATGGAATTGAGCTACGCTCAGGCAAAATCCTAGAGGAAAACCATTTTGAATTCAGGCTGTAACAACAAAATGTGGATTAAGTCAAGGGGTTCACCCGACTTTCTGAAGGCACTGTAAATGTGTCATAATGCATTAACCCTAACCTCAACCTGTTCCACTCATATCATAGACGGGACAGACGTAGCATGACTTCTACCAGAGAGGAAGCGAGGGTTTACTCCACCTAAAAAAAAACTGTCCACAAAAATAAGACCAGGAAGTGAGGAATGTTTGTAATGGGAGTTCAATGTGAGTGTCAAATTTGGTCAACAAAAAATTGTATCGCTAATTTTCTACGTGAGGGTTAATTGATATCTAATTGAAGCTTCGTAATGGTTAGGTTATTATTAGGAATGTACTGATATAAGGGGACGCATATGGCATTTCAGCAACTTTGAAAAAAAAAAAACACTTATATGTCGGACTTGTCTGCTGTTCACACGTGCATCTGCCCTCTCATTGGCTAGAATAGTCCCACTTGATCTCGCCTCCTCCCGCCTCCCTCCACCTTTGAGGACATGTATTTCCATTGTTACAGCGGTCACTCGACTATAATAGAAAAGCTTTGCTTTTACCGGTTTGACTTGTTTGCCTAGGGTAAAATGCTAAACATATATTTTGTAGGACCTTAGGAGCTCCATGTTCCCACGTAACAAATCAAATCAAATTTTATTGGTCACATGCGCCGAATACAACAGGTGCAGACATTACAGTGAAATGCTTACTTACAGCCCTTAACCAACAGTGCATTTATTTTAAACAAAAAAAGTAAAAATAAAACAAAAAAAGGTGTTGAGAAAAAAAAAGAGCAGAAGTAAAATAAAGTGACAGTAGGGAGGCTATATATACAGGGGGGTACCGTTGCAGAGTCAATGTGCGGGGGCACCGGCTAGTTGAGGTAGTTGAGGTAATATGTACATGTGGGTAGAGTTAAAGTGACTATGCATAAATACTTAACAGAGTAGCAGCAGCGTAAAAAGGATGGGGTGGGGGGGCAGTGCAAATAGTCCGGGTAGCCATGATTAGCTGTTCAGGAGTCTTATGGCTTGGGGGTAGAAGCTGTTGAGAAGTCTTTTGGACCTAGACTTGGCACTCCGGTACCGCTTGCCGTGCGGTAGCAGAGAGAACAGTCTATGACTAGGGTGGCTGGAGTCTTTGACAATTTTGAGGGCCTTCCTCTGACACCGCCTGGTATAGAGGTCCTGGATGGCAGGAAGCTTTGCCCCAGTGATGTACTGGGCCGTACGCACTACCCTCTGTAGTGCCTTGCGGTCGGAGGCCAAGCAGTTGCCATACCAGGCGGTGATGCAACCAGTCAGGATGCTCTCGATGGTGCAGCTGTAGAATTTTTTTAGGATCTGAGGACCCATGCCAAATCTTTTTAGTCTCCTGAGGGGGAATAGGCTTTGTCGTGCCCTCTTCACGACTGTCTTGGTGTGTTTGGACCATGATAGTTCGTTGGTGATGTGGACACCAAGGAACTTGAAGCTCTCAACCTGTTCCACTACAGCCCCGTCGATGAGAATGGGGGCGTGCTCAGTCCTCTTTTTTTTCCTGTAGTCCACAATCATCTCCTTTGTCTTGGTCACGTTGAGGGAGAGGTTGTTGTCCTGGCACCACACGGCCAGATCTCTGACCTCCTCCCTATAGGCTGTCTCATCGTTGTCGGTGATCAGGCCTACCACTGTTGTGTCGTCGGCAAACTTAATGATGGTGTTGGAGTCGTGCCTGGCCATGCAGTCATGGGTGAACAGAGAGTACAGGAGGGGACTGAGCACGCACCCCTGAGGGGCCCCCGTGTTGAGGATCAGTGTGGCAGATGTGTTGTTACCTACCCTTACCACCTGGGGGCGGCCCGTCAGGAAGTCCAGGATCCAGTTGCAGAGGGAGGTGTTTAGTCCCAGGATCCTTAGCTTAGTGATGAGCTTAGAGGGCACTATGGTGTTGAATGCTGAGCTGTAGTCAATGAATAGCATTCTCACGTAGGTGTTCCTCTTGTCCAGGTGGGAAAGGGCAGTGTGGAGTGCAATAGAGATTGCATCATCTGTGGATCTGTTGGGGCGGTATGCAAATTGGAGTGGGTCTAGGGTTTCTGGGATAATGCTGTTGATGTGAGCCATGACCAGCCTTTCAAAGCACTTCATGGCTACAGACATCAGTGCTACGGGTCGGTAGTCATTTAGGCAGGTTATCTTAGATTCCTTGGGCACGGGGACTATGGTGGTCTGCTTGAAACATGTTGGTATTACAGACTCAGTCAGGGACATGTTGAAAATGTCAGTGAAGACACTTGCCAGTTGGTCAGCACATGCTCGGAGTACACGTCCTGGTAATCCGTCTGGCCCTGCGGCCTTGTGAATGTTGACCTGCTTAAAAGTCTTACTCACATCCGCTACGGAGAGCGTGATCACAGTCATCCGGAACAGCTGGTGCTCTCATGCATGCTTCAGTGTTGCTTGCCTCGAAGCGAGCATAGAAGTGGTTTAGCTCGTCTGGTAGGCTTGTGTCACTGGGCAGCTCGCGGCTGTGCTTCCCTTTGTAGTCTGTAATAGTTTTCAAGCCCTGCCACATCCGACGAGCGTCAGAGCCAGTGTAGTACGATTCAATCTTAGACCTGTATTGACTCTTTGCCTGTTTGATGGTTCGTCGGAGGTCATAGCGGGATTTCTTATAAGCGTCCGGGTTAGAGTCCCGTTCCTTGAAAGCGGCAGCTCTACCCTTTAGCTCAGTGCGGATGTTTCCTGTAATCCATGGCTTCTGGTTGGGGTATGTACGTACGGTCACTGTGGGGACGACATCATCGATGCACTTATTGATGAAGCCAGTGACTGATGTGGTGTACTCCTCAATGCTGTCTGAAGAATCCCGGAACATGTTCCAGTCTGTGCTAGCAAAACAGTCCTGTAGCTTAGCATCTGCGTCATCTGACCACTTTTTTATTAACCGAGTCACTGGTGCTTCCTGCTTTAGTTTTTGCTTATAAGCAGGAATCAGGAGGATAGAGTTATGGTCAGATTTGCCAAATGGAGGGCGAGGGAGAGCTTTGTATGCGTCTCTGTGTGTGGAGTAAAGGTGGTCTAGAGTTTTTTTCCCTCTGGTTGCACATTTAACATGCTGGTAGAAATTAGGTAAAACGGATTTAAGTTTCCCTGCATTAATGTCCCCGGCCACTAGGAGCGCTGCATCTGGATGAGCGTTTTCCTGTTGATTAATGGCCTTGTACAACTCATTCAGTGCAATCTTAATGCCAGCATTGGTTTGTGGTGGTAAATAGACAGCTATGAAAAATACAGATGAAAACTCTCTTGGTAAATAGTGTGGTCTACAGCTTATCATAAGATACTCTACCTCAGGCGAGCAAAACCTCGAGACTTCCTTAGTATTTGGTTTTGTGCACCAGCTGTTGTTTACAAATATACACAGACCGCCACCCCTTGTCTTACCGGAGTCAGCCGTTCTGTCCTGCCGATGTAGCGTATAGCCTGCTAGCTGAATGTTATCATTGTCGTCGTTCAGCCACGACTCGGTGAAACATAATATATTACAGTTTTTAATGTCCCGTTGGTAGGATAACCGTAATCTTAAGTCGTCCACTTTATTTTCAAAAGATTGAACGTTGGCTAATAGGATTGATGGAAGAGGCAGTTTACTCGTTCGCCGTCGGATCCTTACAAGGCACCCCGATCTGCGTCCACGATATCTCCGTCTCTTCTTCACGCGAATGACGGGGATTTGGGCCTTGTCGGGTGTCTGTATGATATCCTTCGTGGCCGCCTCGTTGAAGAAAAAATCTTCGTCCAATACGAGGTGAGTAATCGCTGTCCTGATATCCAGAAGCTCTTTTTGGTTATAAGAGACGATGGCAGAAACATTATGTACAAAATAAATTACAAATAACGCGGAACAACACAAAACACTTACCATTCTAATTGGTTTTCTTCTGTGGATGCACTGGCAGTCAGAACAATGTAATGCCTGTTAAAGACAAAACACAAATTGGCATACAGATAAACACCTGTCAACTATTTCAACATTTAAAATAGAAAACAGGGAAATAAATATATCAATAAATACGTACTTGTACTTCAGGAAAAAGTTGGGCGGCTCAAACAGTTTGGACCAGTCCGTTTTCCCCTGAAGGATGTCATCGGTCACACTGAGACCTGTAGGTGTCAGATATTTAGTAATCTCTTGTGGACAGACGCATGGAAAACAGGATGGTATAATAGCATCTGTCAACAGACTGTGGGATGCAACGACTAACAAGGAACTCTGTTCAGATGCGCAGATTTCTTTCCTCACAGGTTATTTGGACAAATCATGACTTCGCATCTTTCAAATTTCAGAAGTGGAGGGGACATTTGGCCATTGCTTTGCTGCGTGTTTTCGTTTAGGGGGTGGGGGGGGGGGGGGGGGGTGGAGAGTTCTCTAGGCTGGTTAGGGTCTCCTCTCATACAGATACCCCCAGAACATAATCGAACACAATATTCTACTTCTAGGTTTCCCAGATTAGACATTTAGAATGAGCACAATTAGCACCATGCTGTCCCAACTGACTCATACAGGACCACTATACAGAACACCCCTCATTGCATGGTGTAATAATTTGATGTAAGAGAAAGGTTTTAGGATATATCCTACTGCAAATACAGGGAGTCAACAGTCTGGGTTGGGTATTTCAGTGCCATTCAGTGGACAGTCATTTCAGGGCCTTTATTGGAGTGCTGAACTAGGATCAGTTTAGCCTTTTAGATAATAATGAACACGATAATTGGGCACCATTGGGCGGCAGGTAGCTTAGTGGGTAAGAGCGTTGTGCCAGTAACTGAAAGGTCGCTGGTTCTAATCCCCGAGCCGACTAGGTGAAAAATCTGTCGATGTGCCCTTGAGCAAGGCACTTAACCCTAATTGCTCCTGTAAGTCGCTCTGGATAAGAGCGTCTGCTAAATGACTAAAAATAAAAATAAAAAAAATAAATAATATGGACGGGGGGGACGGGGGGGGGGGGGCTGATCCTAGATCAACCAGGTTAGGGCCAAGAGTTAGGTACCCACCGTATTTGAACTCCTCGCTCATGATGGTGCGTGTGGAAGTGGAGACGTTGTAGGTGGAGTTCTGCTGGGGGTAGGCTGGTGTGATGATGGGCATCAGGTGGTACCTGTCTGACGGGTTCACCTGGAGGGGGGGGTGGGGGGGGGGCAAGACAGGTAGAGAGGAGAGTTGGAACAGGGCAAGAGCAGCTTTGTCCACCCCACAGACACACCACACCTTCAAAATAAGCGTTTTATCAATTTGTTATGTTCATCCGATAAACCTTGCGGAATTTGTGCATCTCGAACACACACACAACAGCAGACACCTACCCGTGGATCCCAAACAGGCAGATTCAGATTGCTGTCTTCAGGTTGTTTCAAAAGCACAGGATTCGGCCATTCCCTACAGGACGGAACAGATTGAGTGAATTGATGGCTTTTCAAACAATGGAGATTTCAAAGCAACAACATGTTTTTATCATAGTGGGTCATCGGCTACACAGGCTACCCATATCATCACACCCATTTAGACTGATCAGGACCCATATCATCACACCCATTTAGACTGATCAGGACCCATATCATCACACCTATTTAAACTGATCAAGGCCCATATCATCACACCCATTTAGACTGATCAGGACCCATATCATCACACCAATTTAAACTGATCAAGGCCCATATCATCACACCCATTTAGACTGATCAGGACCCATATCATCACACCTATTTAAACTGATAAGGTCCCATATCATCACACCCATTTAGACTGATCAGGACCCATATCATCATACCTATTTAAACTGATCAAGGCCCATATCATCACACCCATTTAGACTGATCAGGACCCATATCATCACACCAATTTAAACTGATCAAGGCCCATATCATCACACCCATTTAAACTGATCAGGACCCATATCATCACACCCATTTAGACTGATCAGGACCCATATCATCACACCTATTTAAACTGATCAGGGCCCATATCATCACACCCATTTAAACTGATCAGGACCCATATCATCACACCCATTTAGACTGATCAGGACCCATATCATCACACCTATTTAAACTGATCAAGGCCCATATCATCACACCCATTTAGACTGATCAGGACCCATATCATCACACCCATTTAAACTGATCAAGACCCATATCATCACACCTATTTAAACTGATCAAGGCCCATATCATCACCACCCATTTAGACTGATCAGGACCCATATCATCACACCCATTTAAACTGATCAAGGCCCATATCATCACCCCATTTAGACTGATCAGGACCCATATCATCACACCCATTTAGACTGATCAGGACCCATATCATCACACCTATTTAGACTGATCAGGACCCATATCATCACACCCATTTAGACTGATCAGGGCCCATATCATCACACCTATTTAGACTGATCAGGACCCATATCATCACACCTATTTAAACTGATCAGGGCCCATATCATCCACCCATTAACTGATCTCCATATCATCACCCTATTTAGACTGATCAGGGCCCATATCATCACACCTATTTAAACTGATCAGGGCCCATATCATCACACCCATTTAGACTGATCAGGGCCCATATCATCACACCTATTTAAACTGATCAGGGCCCATATCATCACACCCATTTAGACTGATCAGGGCCCATATCATCACACCTATTTAAACTGATCAGGGCCCATATCATCACACCCATTTAGACTGATCAGGGCCCATATCATCACACCTATTTAGACTGATCAGGGCCCATATCATCACACCTATTTAAACTGATCAGGGCCCATATCATCACACCCATTTAGACTGATCAGGGCCCATATCATCACACCTATTTAAACTGATCAGGGCCCATATCATCACACCCATTTAGACTGATCAGGGCCCATATCATCACACCTATTTAGACTGATCAGGGCCCATATCATCACACCCATTTAAACTGATCAGGGCCCATATCATCACACCTATTTAGACTGATCAGGGCCCATATCATCACACCTATTTAGACTGATCAGGGCCCATATCATCACACCTATTTAGACTGATCAGGGCCCATATCATCACACCTATTTAGACTGATCAGGGCCCATATCATCACACCTATTTAAACTGATCAGGGCCCATATCATCACACCCATTTTAGACTGATCAGGCCCATATCATCACACCTATTTAAACTGATCGGGGGCCCATATCATCACACCCATTTAGACGGATCAGGGCCCAATCATCACACCTTTAGACTGATCAGGGCCCATATCATCAAAAAACCCATTTAAACTGATCAGGGCCCATATCATCACACCTATTTAGACTGATCAGGCCCTATCACCCACCTATTTAGACTGATCAGGCCCTATCATCACACCTATTTAGACTGATCAGGGCCCATATCATCACACTATTTAGACTGATCAGGGCCCATTCATCACACCATTTAAACTGATCAGGCCCATATCATCACACACCATTTAGACTGATCGGGGCCCCATATCATCACACCTATTTAAACTGATCAGGGCCCATATCATCACACCCATTTAGACTGATCAGGACCCTATCATCACACACCCCATTTAGACTGATCAGGGCCCATATCATCACACCTATTTGACTGTCAGGGCCCATAATCACACACCTATTTGACTGATCAGGCCCATATCATAAACACCTATTTAGACTGATCAGGGCCCATATCATCACACCTATTTAGACTGATCAGGCCCAATATCACACACCCTTTAGACTGTCAGGCCCATATCATCACACCATTTAGACTGATCAGGGCCCTATCATCACACCTATTTAAACTGATCAGGGCCCATATCATCACACCTATTTAGACTGATCAGGCCCATATCATCACACCTATTTAAACTGATCAGGGCCCATACTCACAGTGACTCAGATATGTGCTGATCTAGAGTCAGATCTCCCTTATACATTGTGATTAAAAAAAAAAAGGTCCAATCCTAGATCACTGCTCTGAGACGCTTTGTGAGTAGTGGCTGTGGAACGTAAAGCGGCGGTACGGGGCTCCTTGTGTACGTACCACTTAGAGAAGACCAGGAAGAACTTGTGTACGTACCACTTAGAGAAGACCAGGAAGAACTTGTGTACGTACCACTTAGAGAAGACCAGGAAGAACTTGTGTACGTACCACTTAGAGAAGACCAGGAAGAACTTGTGTACGTACCACTTAGAGAAGACCAGGAAGAACTTGTGTACGAGGGTGGAGGCCACAGCGTTGGGGTAGAGCTGGCAGGTCCTAGCTACCAGCATGGCCCAGGAGACGCCACCCAGGAAGCCCAGCATGTTGGAGTAGATCCCACGGCCTGGGGCACAGGGGTAATAATATACCATTTAGCAGATGCTTTCATCCAAAGCAACTAACATTCATTCGTGCAGACATTTGTTAACACATGGGTCATATTCAAAACAGAAAAAGACCACTCAGAAAAGGGGTGGAAAAGGGAGGTACTACGATCTGAACTACTTGTCCAATAAAAACACTCAATTTAGTTTCCCCTCCTAACATATTTCTAGAAATGTTACATGTGCCTTAATGAACACGTCCCCGGTCACTCAGTGCCCTACAGTACAGTCCTGTATCCGGTTAGGCAGAGTTATTAGAGGGGAAACTGTCTGCAATAGTGGTCCTCAGTAGCCTAGTTGGTAATAATAATAATATATTGGATTTCTATAGTGGTTTTCTATCAACTGATGTAGTCAAAGCGCTTTACATAGGAGGGGGAAACTCACCTCATCCACCATCAATGTACAGTGGGGAGATACAATAAAATGCAAATTAATTACTTAAAAATCATACAATGTGATTTTCTGGATTTTTGTTTTAGATTCCGTCTCTCACAGTTGAAGTGTATCTATGATAAAAATTACAGACCTCTACATGCTTTGTAAGTAGGAAAACCTGCAAAATCGGCAGTGTATCAAATACTTGTTCTCCCCACTGTATATCACCCACCTCAGTGACGCACGGCGACCAATTTGTGCCAGAACGCTCACCACACATCAGCTATCAGGTAGAGAGGTGAGGAGTGACACATGCCAATTAGGAATGAGGGGGATGATTAGATGGCCATGATGGAAATGGGGCCAGGTTGGGAGTTTAGCCAGGACACCGGGGTGAACACCCCTACTCTTACGATAAGTGCCATGGGATTTTTAGTGACCACGGGGAGTCAGGACACCCATTTAACATCCCATCCGAAAGATGGCACCGTACGCATGGCAATGTCCCCTTCACTACCCTGGGATCTCCTTAGACCAGAGGGGAGAGTGCCCCAGCTACTGGGCTCTGACACCACTTTCAGCCGCATCTGGTCTCCATCCAGGGACCGACCCTGCTTAGTTTCAGAGGCAAGCCAGCAGTGGGATGCAGGGTGGTATGAGCAAGGCGCTTGCAATGCTAGGGTAGTGGGTTCGATTCCCAGGACCACCCGTATGTAAAATGTATGAACAAATGACTAAGTCACTTTGGATAAAAGCATCTTGCTAAATGTCATATTATAGTCTATATTATTAAAATGGTGTATTAATGGCAAATATATGACATTGTATTGTAGTTGCTGACTCACGTTTGGCCCACAGCTTGATGGCCCTCAGGGTTAGTCTGAAGTTCTCCTTGTTTGGTACCAAGTACAGGATCTCATCTGTCACTCTGCAGCCTGGAGCAGGAGGAGAGCAAAGGAAGACATCACTATAATCTCAGAAAAAGTCTAACTGCTCACAACAAGAGTCCAGGGAGGGAGGTTAGTTAGTTACACACTGCGTTGTCATTCCAAAGCTGGTGCTGTAGTTGGCTAAAGGTAACAGTCATAGTTTAACATGATTACAGATACGGGGTACGGTGTTAGTTACACTATAACCTAATGCACAGTATGACCCTCTACTATGTAGTACCATGTATTACTACATACTAGGTTCTATGTAGTACCATGTATTACTACGTACTAGGTTCTATGTAGTACCATGTATTACTACGTACTAGGTTCTATGTAGTACCATGTATTACTACTATGTTCCATGTAATACCACATTTTACTATGTACTAGGTTCTATGTAGTACCATGTATTATGTCCTAGTACTACGTAATACCACGTATTACTATGTCCTACTACTATGTAGCACCATGTATTACTATGTCCTAGTATTATGTTCTATGTAGTACCATGTATTAATATGTCCTAGTACTATGTAGTACCATGTATACCAAACAAAAATATAAATGTAACATGTAAAGTGCTGATCTCATGTTTCATGGAGCTGAAATAAAAAATGGCTGACATTTTCCATATGCACTAAAAGCTTATTTCTCTAAAATGTTTGTTTCCATCCCTGTTAGTGAGCATTCCTCCTTTGCCAAGATAATCCATCCACCTGACAGGTATGGCATATCAAGAAGCTGATTAAACAGCATGATCATTACACAGGTGCACCTTGTGATGGGGACAATAAACGGCCACTAAAATGTGCAGTTTTGTCACACAACACAAACAGACGTATCAAGTTTTGAGGGAGCGTGCAATTGGCATGCTGACTGCAGGAACCAAAGCTGTTGCCAGAGAATTTAATGTTCATTTCTCTACCATAAGCCGCCTCCAACGTCATTTTAGAGAATTTGGCATTATGTCCAACCGGCCTCACAACTGCAGACCAAGTGTAACCACGCCAGCCCAGGAACTTCACATCCGGCTTCTGACTGGCTGGGCCTGGCCCCCAATTGGGTGGGCCTATGCCCTCCAAGGCCCACCCATGGCTGCTCCCCTGCCCAGTCATGTGAAATCCATAGATTAGGGCTTAATGAATTTATTTCAATTGACTGATTTGCTTATATTAACTGTAACATTATTGAAATTGTTGCGTTTATATTTTTGATTCAGTAGATTACTGTGTGGCTTAGTAGGTAGAGCATAGTGCTTGAACGCCAAGGGTCGTGGGTACGATTCCCGTGTAAAATGTATGCTCGCATGACTAAGTTACTTTGGATAAAAGCGTCTGCTAAATGGCCTGTATTATTACTACTAGTACCACGTCGTTCCATAGGAAGAGAGCGACAGTACCATTGAGGCTGCGGATGCAGCGGATGTCCAGGTTCCTCAGGTGGGAGTCTCCTCTCAGATCCAGGTTGTCTGGGATGGACTGCAGAGCCAGCCGCGCAAACAGCAGGTCAATCTGCCCGGCAACAAGACAGAGCAGGGACACTCAATTACACTGGGCCCAAATTCACAAAGTCTCTTTGAGTAGAAGTGCTGATCTAGGATCAGTTGGGACCCCGCTAATTCAGTAGGACTTTAAGGCACACATGATCCTAGATCAGTACTCCTATTCAGACAGTTTGTGAATTACTGTACTGCTTATAATCTGTATCCACTACAGGTATATTGTGATCATGTTATAATTCTGTTTATGCCAATAGTATACTATAACTACGTATGCTTTCTGTTCAAATATGCGAAAAAGTCTCGCAATCTTGGGTCTGCCAGGTGGTTTCTGACCACGCGTATCATTAACCTCCCATTTCCAGGGTCTGATCTAATCTTCAAGGATTAGCTGTGTTTAGGTCGATCTACAGCCTGATCTGGGTTCTGTTCTATTTCAATATGAATGTCAATGTGTTGGATGTGAATGTTGAATGAATGCGTTTGCTCCATCATTAACATTTTCATTGGTGAAAACCCACTCTGATGGTATACATATCTCCCAGAGAGTAGATAGACACCACTTAGTACATCCAAACCCCATTACCTCGATGCCGTCAAACTTGAATTTGATCACAGGCACAAAGGCATCCTCCACCGCCTGAAACAAGAAATGCATCACGTTAAAGCGATTGACATGCCAAGTCAAAAGGTACAGGAGAACACAGAAGTCGGAAGTTTACATACACCTTAGCCAAATACATTTAAACTCAGTTTTCACAATTCCTGACATTTAATCCTAGTAAAAATTCCCTGTTTTAGGGTCAGTTAGGATCAGCACTTTGTTTTAAGAATGTGACATGTCAGAATAATAGTAGAGAGAATTATTTATTTCAACTTTTATTTCTTTCATCACATTCCCAGTGGGTCAGAAGTTTACATACACTCAATTAGTATTTGGTAGCATTGCCTTTAAATTGTTTAACTTGGGTCAAACGTTTTGGGTAGCCTTCCACAAGCTTCCCACAATAAGTTGGGTGAATTTTGGCCCATTCCTCCTGACAGAGCTGGTGTAACCGAGTCAGGTTTGTAGGCCTCCTTGCTCGTACACGCTTTTTCAGTTCTGCCCACACATTTTCTATAGGATTGGAGGTCAGGGCTTTGTGATGGCCACTCCAATACCTTGACTTTGTTGTCCTTAAGCCATTTTGCCACAACTTTGGAAGTATGTTTGGGGTCATTGTCCATTTGGAAGACCCATTTGCGACCAAGCTTTCACTTCCTGACTGATGTCTTGAAATGTTGCTTCAATATATCCACATAAGTTTCCTTCCTCATGATGCCATCTATTTTGTGAAGTGCACCAGTCCCTCCTGCAGCAAAGCACCCCCCAGCATGATACTGCCACCCCCGTGCTTCATGGTTGGGATGGTGTTCTTCGGCTTGCAAGCTGCCCCCTTTTTCCTCCAAACATAACGATGGTCATTATGGCCAAACAGTTCTATTTTTGTGTCATCAGACCAGAGGACATTTCTCCAAAAAGTACAATCTTTGTCCCCATGTGCAGTTGCAAACCGTTGTCTGGCTTTTTTATGGCGGTTTTGGAGCAGTGGCTTCTTCCTTGCTGAGCAGCCTTTCAGGTTATGTCGATATAGGACTCGTTTTACTGTGGATATAAATACTTTTGTACGCGTTTCCTCCAGCATCTTCACAAGGTTCTTTGCTGTTGTTCTGGGATTGATTTGCACTTTTCGCACCAAAGTACGTTAATCTCTAGGAGACAGAACGCGTCTCCTTCCTGAGCTGTATGACGGCTGCGTGGTCCCATGGTGTTTATACTTGCATACTATTGTTTGTACAGATGAACGTGGTACCTTCAGGTGTTTGGAAATTGCTCCCAAGGATGAACCAGACTTGTGGAGGTCTACAATAATTTTTCTGAGGTCTTGGCTGATTTCTTTTGATTTTCCCATGATCTCAAGCAAAGAGGCACTGAGTTTGAAGGTAGGCCTTGAAATACAGCCACAGGTCCACCTCCAATTGACTCAAATGATGTCAATTAGCCTATCAGAAGCTTCTAAAGCCATGACATCATTTTCTGGAATTTTCCAAGCTGTTTAAAAGGCACAGTCAACTTAATGTATGTAAACTTCTGACCCATTGGAATTGTGATACAGTGAATTATAAGTGAAATAATCTGACTGTAAACATTTGTTGGAAAAGTTACTTGTCATGCACAAAGTAGAGGTCCTAACCGACTTGCCAAAACTATAATTTGTTAACAAGAAATTTGTGGAGTGGTTGAAAAACTAGTTTTAATGACTCAAACCTTAGTGTATGTAAATTTCCGACTTCAACTGTACATGCCTCGAGCACGTCTACAGTGTCAACATAGGTTAGAATCCGGCCTACTGCCCTTTGACACAATCTCTCTCCATTTTCCTCCACTGTCATCCTCTCACACGCTGTTCAATAAAATCTGAGATTTTTTTTGTATAAGAATATTATCCTGACTCACCCGTAGGTCTTTGATCTCTTCGTGCAGTTTGAGCTTTGCAAAGAATGAGTCAAAGAAGTCAGTCCTCTCCACGTGTCGCGGCGACACACACAAGGCATCAATATCCGCCCCTGCAACACAAACACAACACACAACTTAACTACACCTTTGACAGCTCAGTTGGTAGAGCATGGCGCTTGCAACGCCAAGGTTGTGGGTTCGTTTCCCCACGAGGGGCCAGTATGGAAATGTATGCACTCACTAACTGTAAGTGGCTCTGGATATGTGTGCTAAATGACTAAAATGTAAATGTGGCTCATGCAGACATGCACTTGTTCTCTTTAAGGATGACAGGACATTACCTTTAGTGTGAACTCCCAGCCGGTAAGACCCAAAGGTGAAGATCTTCCCCCCCACATTGGTTATCGCTGATGGTGGGAGGTTCTGAGGGGAATTAACATCAACATCATTCAGCATGATCACACATCATTCTCCCATTGACATCGTAGCAGAGTAGGAATTATTTGCTTTCTGTAAAGCAACCACTGACGCACACACAGTTCAGTCATCATTGTTCTTCAAGGAACCTACCTTTGTTTCACTGATCTCGGCAATCCATTCCTTGACAAATGTATTCAACTTCCCAAGAACTGCGAGTCTGTGGGAAGTACCATAATATCAATCAATTCACCTGTCCACTACGAAACCCAGCATATCCCAGACACACATATCAAAAGAACGTAAACCTACAACAACTCTTCAACTTGGAAAACATTGAAGCAAAATAAGGTCATTAAATGAACAAATACAACTCAATTTCAACCAGTGCCTGTATTCACTGAAAGTCTCAGAGCACGAGTGCTGCTGATAAAGGATCAGTTTCATCTTTTAGATCTTAAATGAATAAGATTATACGGACAGGGGGGGACCTGATCCTAGATCAGCAGGCTTACTCTGAGATGCTTTTTGAATACGGGCCCAGGTGTGTAAGAAAACACATTTTTCACTTAGTTGGGTTAAGCCTGACAAAGACCTTCGGGTGGAAACATTACACAATAAAATAAAAAAATCTAAACAACAGGAGTATTCATCAGTGTGCAGGCATCTTTTCTTTATTTCATGAGAACTCCATCTCACCTGTGGTTGAGTTCGTCCTCATCCTCGAACACCCCAAAGGGTTTCATGGCCTCGCTGAGCTTGTGTGTGTACTGGTGGTCCACCTCCCTGGGGAAGGCCATGCTGATGGACGAGGTGATGCCATAGTGTTTCTGAGGCTGCTGCCCGCCATGCATACTGTTACTGTTCCTTTACAAGTCAACACAGAGAGGAGGAAGAAGAGTATGTTATAGATATGATAGATGTCCTGTTGAATTGACCAACGTTGTTTGCAGTACATATATACTTCAGTCTAGCCGACTGAACGCAACTCGACGGTGAAGGAAGTTTCTGATTAACTCCACCAACAGAGTTGAGCAGAGACCAGGTTTTGTGGAATTCAGCCCTGACTACATCGATTCGTCCGAGGTCAATACTACACAAATATTTTATTATGAAACGCTTACCTTACACCTATGTTTGTCCTCTGTAGTTGTGTGCCTTTGTTTGCTAAAATCCATACTTTTTAATAAAAACGTTAATCAAATACCACCACCAAATTGTTTCCTTGTCGAGATTCAATTGGCACATGCGCAGAGTTGAGATCTTAGAGCAACAGCAATAAGCAAACAGTCAGTGGTTGTATTTTATTAATATTTATTAAAAAGTATGGATTTTGGCAAACAAAGAAAGGCACGCAACTACAGAGGACAAACATAGGTACAAGGTAAGCATTTCATAACTTACATTTTTAAAAGTATTGACCTCGGGCGAATCGATGTAGTCGGAGATGAATTCCACAAAGCCTGGTCTCTGCTCAACTCTGTTGGTGGGAGTTCATCAGAAACTTCCTTCACCATGGAGTTGAGTTTAGTCAGCCACTTCAATCATAGCAATAAAGAATATATATTTTTATGTTGAGCATTCTGTTTACTAGTTATCACTTAGCTAACGTTTAGGTAGGTAGCTATTTTTTGTTTTCCCAAGCCACCCATTTACTCTATAGCGAGCTAACGTTAGATGTCCTGTTGAATTGTTCAAAGTTGTTTGCAGTACATATAGCATAACAAACCATATTTGCATTTGAAGAGCCATCCTATGTGTTTAGTGCACTCACTGGGTGAAAATCAGAGACACAAACCGTGGACTAACTTAACGTTACTTTGATGGTGCTTCATTCATTTCCTATTCATTGAGCTGGTCTGGATAGATTTAGCACTAATAGGTAGCTAACGAGGCGAGCACCTGTTTGACATGACGCAGGGACGCAGGCGTCAACTCCACATGACCTGTTATTGGTCACTACACAGGGATGTTTACAACAAAATAATCCAGACAGCTAATGTTACCTTATTTAAAGGCAAGTTAGTTAGCAAAAACGTTGGCTAGAAAGTCTGGTAGCCAGCACACGTTAACGACCATATATCTATATGACCATCTAGCTAACGTTATATACCGGAACTCAAAGGCTCTAACGTTAACGATGTTAGCTAACAAGTTAACTAGCGTTGATTATAAACAAAATAACGTTAATGAATAATTAGCTAAATAACGTTGGCTAGTTACAATAACATACAAACAACGAAATATTGAAACCCATCGAGTCATCAAGCTAGTTTTGAAATGTCTCTGATTGCCGTGTCGAGTAGCAAGCTAGCCAAGTTAGCAGATGCACCAAATAGCTAGGCCTTTGTTAGCTTCGCTAACTCCCTCAGCCTCGCATTGTTGTGATGATAGCCGTTCGTTAGCAACTAGCTAGCCGTGTTAGCCTAGCTAGCTATGTTAGCCTAGCTAACGTTAGCTATTCTATCATCTTTCTACAACAACACACATGTTGAAGAGAGGACAATATTACAATGCATTAAGCATGTGGACAACTTACGCTGACATTTCTTTCATGACCCACCGATAACTTTCTCTTTTCCTTAGAACAAACTTGTAGAAAACATGTAAACTCAGCTAGCAGCAGCCCCGACCCTATTTATAACAATAGCTAGTTAGTTACACTCCAATATGGCGCTCAAGCCGTCTCTGTATCCCGACAAGCTTTGCGCAATGAGATTCCATCGTCATTTCTGGTCATAAATCCATAAACATCCACAGTGGACTTTTTTGAGTGTACTAACTTTTAGTTGCCACAATAAAATTCTGTATACCTTAGTTATACTCACTATCCAGTGTATGGGTATAGGACTTGTTCATCAATAATCCAGTGAGTTTTTAAGGGAACATTTTGAAATAGCCATGTAAACAAATATGTGTCAAATGCCATTATTTTGTTATAATAAAGTGTATGGTGCCATGCTACTGTAGTGTATGAGGATAGTATGGGACTTGCTCTTCGTTAATTTTGTGAGCATACTACAGTATTTGAAATGACTGTAATGACAAAGACTCTATTTTAAATACTGTAACACTTAGCATTTGTGAGCATTGTACTGCGTCTTCCCAGGGGCACATGCTTTAGTGCAGTGGTGGAAAAAGTACCCAAATGTCATACTTGAGTAAAAATATACATACCTTAATAGAAAGTTACTCAAGTAAAAGTGAAAGTCACCCAGTAAAATACTACTTGAGTAAAAGTCTAAAAGTATTTGGTTCTAAATATACTTAAGTATCAAAAGTAAATGGAATTGGTAAAATATACTTAAGTACCAAAAGTAAAAGTGAAAGTATAAATCATTTCAAATTCCTTATATTAAGCAAAGCAAATGGCACCAGTTTCTTGTTTTTAAAATGTACGGATAGCCAGGGGTACACTCCAACACTCAGACATAATTTACAAACGATGCATTTGTGTTTAGTGAGTCTGCCAGATCAGAAGCAATAGGGATGACCATGTGTTCTCTTGATAAGTGTGGGAATTTGAAAATTTTCCTGTCCTGCTAAGCACTCAACATGTAACAAGTAGCTGGTAGCTTAGTGGTTAGGCGCGTTGTGCCAGTAACCGAAAGGTCGCTGGTTCTAATCCCTGAGCCGACTAGGTGAAAAATCTGTTGATGTGCCCTTGAGCAAGGCACTTAACCCTAATTGCTCCTGTAAGTCGCTCTGGATAAGAGCGTCTGCAAAATGTAAATGTAAGTACTTTTGGATGTCAGGGAAGATGTATGGAGTAAAAAGTACATTATTTTCTTTAGGAATGTAGTGAAGTAAAAATAAAAGTTGTCAAAAATATGAATAGTAAAGTAAAGTTCAGTTACCCCCCCAAAAAACTACTTAAGTATTTTTACTTAAGTACTTTACACCACTGCTTTTGTGGCATAGGTCTCATTAGGCTCTTTTTCGCCATGGTTCGAGTCCCCGTTGCAGCTCTCTTTTTCTACTGCTACATTGGTGGCAGTGATGGGATCACATCCAGTGGTCTTACATGGTGTTGGGGAACACCATGGTGCAAGTCCCCATTGCATCTCTCACTTGAACCATGACTAAAAAGATCCTAATGCGACCTTTGCCACAAAAGCCGCGGCTCCTGGGAAGAGGCAGTACAACGCTCACAAACGCTACTTGTTACAGTCATTTCAAATACAGTCTTTCAGTCATTACAGTCATTTCAACTACAGTAGTATGCTCACAAACTTATTGAAGACCAAGTCCCATACTATACTCACTACTCATACTATAGTCCCATACTATACTCACGCTATCTCACTTTCTCCCGCTACATGACCATTTAGTGGGGTTCAACCACAAGGCCTCACAAACGCCATCCCTCTTCTGACAGAGCAACACACTTTAGGTCTCCCAGATCATAGGCAAACTTCTTATTAACCACTGCTCTAATAAAGTTAATCCTGCTGTGGTAGGTCATTGGCAGTGCATCAGATGGGGATCTGTGAAACTCACTCCTCGCCCCTTGCGCTGTTGAAGAAGGCCTTTTTCCATAACTTGATGGGTTGGAATGCTTCAAGAGGGCCGTTAAGTGTGTTTGAGTTCAAGTCTCGGTATGAACTGAATCAGGGGGAAGTGGTATTGGCTAAACTAGCAACATTATGTTCTTTACACTAGCTTACCTAGGCAGTTGGGGTTTGAACCAATTATGTATGGTTTCAAATCCACCTGTACAGTTCATTGGATGGTATTTTTAGAAAGTAATAATTGCAGGGCCAATGTTAGTTAACACTATCAACTTTTCCCTTTACTGTGGCAATTGTGATCGAATCAAGGCAATATTAGCCATTTTCAATGCAACATACCAAAACAAAACAAACTATGGAAGAGATTTTGTTGTAGGCAGAACACAAGGGATTAGGATTCTATTGTACAGGACTCAGCCCGTAATCTACACAGACAGGTGTGGCATAGCCAGATCAAAAAGCAAGATCTGCATGTAGCCACATGTACACATTTTGTTCATATCCTTTGCTAGGTAGTGAGTTATTAGTCCAATTATAGATCATTTGTAGTCAGCAATAGCAGAGTGATTGTTTCCTACAAGAGCACCAAACTTGTACATTTCTAGACATCTTTGAAATCAGGTAAAGAGCTTTTTTGTGTGTGTCTATGTTGTATTTTGAGACAGGCTTGAATAGGCAGAGGGTAGCATCATTTGTCTAATTCCCTGGAATAATGGTATGGGAATAATAATGCATTTTATTTTGTAAAGTGGTTTCTTGCATCAAACATTTTCAGTCACCTTGTCTGAAGGACCAATGGCTAAACAGGTTACTGTCAAGCCCTGCATGTTTTTTTTCAAAAGTCTCATGGAATGTAGACATTGAACGCGGGAAGAGGAAGGAGCGAGAGAAGTCGGAAGAAGGTTAGAGGAGTAGGTGGGATAAATCGTTGAAAAACAAACAAACTTTGCTCGGTGTGGCGGCGGTCGGCACGGCTGTGCTGTGAATGGGTCAGAGATGGTAGGAGAAAGTGAAGCAAGTATTGAACATAGTGGTACAAATAAAGGAGGGAGTAAGTGTTAGAAATTGCGTAATTCAAATCTGGTATTGGAATAAGAGAAAACATAATCAAGAGATATTCAATCCAAGCTAAATGTATTATATGCAAAATGTATATATGATAAGTATGTTGGATCGTATACGGGCTCACTGAAAAACCACGCAGGGCAGACAGAGAACTAATCCATTGTTACAGGTTCTTCTTCAAATACTCTGACAGTTTTTAGTTCCCGCTCTCTGCTGGCCAATCAGAGTAGAGACTGAGCGTGGTTTAGACTTACTCAGCCAATCCGTTGGCGCACCGGCTGGTCCCAGCCTCTTGGCGCATCCCTGTTAATAATAATAATAATATGCCATTTAGCAGTCGCTTTTATCCAAAGCGACTAACAGTCATGCGTGCATACATTTTTGTGAATGGGTGGTCCCGGGGATCGAACCCACTACCTTGGCGTTACAAGCGCCGTGCTCTACCAGCTGAGCTACAGAGGACCACCTGTTGCCAGGCATACGTTTTTATCATAACAACCTGTGGAGTCAGCACCCAAAAGACACTATTCCACTGTACTACGTTCAAGGACGGTTCACAGACAACAAAGAGGCAGTGTTCGTATCTGTGAGAAATACAAGTCTTATCTATAAGAAATACAAGTTTTATCTCATCCTAGCCCCTAACGTTCCTCACATGAATCACAGCCTGTTATGTGAAACAATTCATATCAGTACAGTATAAACCTTTTATGCTTTAATCATTAATGCACTCTTTCTAAGTTAGTCATCCCATCCAGTTATGAGAAAATAGAACCCCACAGTAAGAAAGAGAAAAAGAAAGCGGGAGAGAAAGGGAGTAGGGGTTTGAAGGGGAGCGAGAGGTCTATGAAGGCAGAAAAGGAAGTTTGAGGAGCGCAACCTAGCTTCCAACGCTAGCGGAAGTTCGGATGTAGAAAGTGCCGCGGAAGGGCAAGATAAGACGCGAGGGGAACATGAAGGTGAGGGAGGAGCATAAAGTGATTCTGAAGTTTAGGGAGGAAGGGGGAGTTGGGGCGATGAGTCCGATAAGGTTGACGGCTGTGATAAAATAGTTGATTGGGGAAGTTGTCAATGCTAAAGTGTCAAGAGATGGGAGCTTGTTGGTGTTCTGTAAGGACATGGCGCCGAGGGAAGAAGCTCTGAGTGAAGCGGATAGGGAAGTGTAAGGTGGAGTCGAGCAGCTGGACTGATCAAGCAGTGGAGTAAAGGGGTGATAACAGGAGTGCCTGTGAGTGTTAGTACTAAAGAGGTAAGGGACACTTTGAGAGGAGGCGTTCTAGTGAATGTTCAAAGATTTTAAGCAACAAGGGGTGTAGTTAGGGTAGATAGCATTTATATTGTGTTACATTTCAAGGACCGGTACTGCCTGTGGGGATCTATTTTCTTACAACTAGATGTGATGCCTAGCTTAGAAAGAATACATTAATGATTAAACATAATAGGTTTGTGCTGTACTGATATAGATTGTTTAACATAACAAGCTGTGATTAATGTGAGGAACCGTTAGGGGGTAGGCTGAGACAGGCTTGTGACTCACACACACAGCCTCTTTGTTAAACCGCTCAAGGACATGTGTTCTGCTACAAAGAAGGACAAACTATGTCTGAGGTTGCTGACTCGAGACAAGTTGTAAAGATAACAACTAATGCCTGGCAACAGTGAAGCGCCAAGGGCCTGGGATCAGTCTGTGCGCCATCGATAGGTTGGGTAAGTTTAAACCACACCCAGCCTCTACTCTGACAGGCCCAGCAGGGAGCGGGAACTATCTCTGTCAGAGTATTTAAAGAAGAACTTATAACAATGGCTCAGTTCTCTGACTGCCCTGCGTGGTTTTTCAGTGGGCCCGTATATACGAACATCATATTTACCATTCAAGTGTTTGCATTAATTAAAATACTAGTCTATTTTAGAAGACGTGTATTGACCTCTTTTTGTTCCTATACCAGATTTGAATTGACACAACTTGACATGCCAAATAAAGTAACAATAGGATATATTAGTTATTATGTGAGGGCTTATGTACCGAAGCCTTTAAGAAAACTATTACAGACTACAAAGGGAAGCACAGCCGCGAGCTGCCCAGTGACACAAGCCTACCAGACGAGTAAAACCACTTCTATGCTCGCTTCGAGGCAAGCAACACTGAAGCATGCATGAGAGCACCAGCTGTTCCGGATGACTATGTGATCACGCTCTCCGTAGCCGATGTGAGTAAGACTTTTAAGCAGGTCAACATTCACAAGGCCGCAGGGCCAGACGGATTACCAGGACGTGTACTCCGAGCATGTGCTGACCAACTGGCAAGTGTCTTCACTGACATTTTCAACATGTCCCTGACTGAGTCTGTAATACCAACATGTTTCAAGCAGACCACCATAGTCCCCGTGCCCAAGAACTCTAAGATAACCTGCCTAAATGACTACCAACCCGTAGCACTGACGTCTGTAGCCATGAAGTGCTTTGAAAGACTGGTCATGGCTCACATCAACAGCATAATCCCAGAAACCCTAGACCCACTCCAATTTGCATACCGCCCCAACAGATCCACAGATGATGCAATCTCTATCGCACTCCACACTGCCCTTTCCCACCTGGACAAGAGGAACACCTACGTGAGAATGCTATTCATTGACTACAGCTCAGCATTCAACACCATAGTGCCCTCTAAGCTCATCACTAAGCTAAGGATCCTGGGACTAAACACCTCCCTCTGCAACTGGATCCTGGACTTCCTGACGGGCCGCCCCCAGGTGGTAAGGGTAGGTAACAACACATCTGCCACACTGATCCTCAACACGGGGGCCCCTCAAGGGTGCGTGCTCAGTCCCCTCCTGTACTCTCTGTTCACCCATGACTACATGGCCAGGCACGACTCCAACACCATCATTAAGTTTGCCGACGACACAACAGTGGTAGGCCTGATCACCGACAACGATGAGACAGCCTATAGGGAGGAGGTCAGAGATCTGGCCGTGTGGTGCCAGGACAACAACCTCTCCCTCAACGTGACCAAGACAAAGGAGATGATTGTGGACTACAGGAAAAAAAAGAGGACTGAGCACGCCCCCATTCTCATCGACGGGGCTGTAGTGGAACAGGTTGAGAGCTTCAAGTTCCTTGGTGTCCACATCACCAACGAACTATCATGGTCCAAACACACCAAGACAGTCGTGAAGAGGGCACGACAAAGCCTATTCCCCCTCAGGAGACTAAAAAGATTTGGCATGGGTCCTCAGATCCTCAAAAAATTATACAGCTGCACCATCGAGAGCATCTTGACTGGTTGCATCACCGCCTGGTATGGCAACTGCTTGGCCTCTGACCGCAAGGCACTACAGAGGGTAGTGCGTACGGCCCAGTACATCACTGGGGCAAAGCTCCCTGCCATCCAGGACCTCTATACCAGGCGGTGTCAGAGGAAGGCCCTCAAAATTGTCAAAGACTCCAGCCACCCTAGTCATAGACTGTTCTCTCTGCTACCGCACGGCAAGCGGTACCGGAGTGCCAAGTCTAGGTCCAAAAGACTTCTCAACAGCTTCTACCCCCAAGCCATAAGACTCCTGAACAGCTAATCATGGCTACCCGGACTATTTGCACTGCCCCCCCACCCCATCATTTTTACGCTGCTGCTACTCTGTTAAGTATTTATGCATAGTCACTTTAACTCTACCCACATGTACATATTACCTCAACTACCTCAACTAGCCGGTGCCCCCGCACATTGACTCTGCAACGGTACCCCCCTGTATATATAGCCTCCCTACTGTCACTTTATTTTACTGTATATATAGCCTCCCTACTGTCACTTTATTTTATTTCTGCTCTTTTTTTCTCAACACTTTTTTTGTTGTTGTTTTATTCTTACTTTTTTTGTTTAAAATAAATGCACTGTTGGTTAAGGGCTGTAAGTAAGCATTTCACTGTAATGTCTGCACCTGTTGTATTCGGCGCATGTGACCAATAAAATTTGATTTGATTTGATTGATTTGATTTGATGTTATAAATGCCAGAGGTTTGGGCATGTGGCAACAGTCTGTAAAGAGAAAAAGAGGTGTGCCAGGTGTGGAGGAGAGCATGAGTATGGGAAGTGTGGAGATGGTGGACATCCAAAGTGCTGCAACTGTGGGGGTGCTCATAGTGTGGCATATAGTGGGTGTGAGGCTATGAAGAAGGCAGTGGAGGTGCAACAAGTGAGAGTGGCGAGAAGGGTGTCATATGCTGAGGCAGCGAGGGTGGTCCAGGAGAGAAGGGTGTCATATGCTGAGGCAGTGAGGGTGGTCCAGGTCCAGGGAGATATAGGTTCAAGGGAGAGATGGGCAGGAGCATCTAGACCGCGGATTACGGGGCAGGTGGGTGGCGATATGGTATACATAGAAAAGAGAAAGCTGGTGACGTTCATAGCAGGAGCTATCAATAGCACTGATAAAGTAGAGTCTAAAACAGAGAGGATTAAGCTGATAGTGAAAGCTGCTGGGAGACATTTGAATATGACAGGGTTGACATTGGGAAGAGGTTCGAGATGATCTCATGACGTAAATGATGCACCATTTACCATGGCAGAGGTGAAAAGAGCACTAGTTAAGGCTGGGTTAACTTCACCTGGGAAAGATGAGGTGTGCCATGTTATGTTGTGTTCTTTACCAGGAGGAAGGTGGGAGATGAGGTATGCTTGAGGTTATATGGGAGAAACTTGGAGAGGGTGGGGGCCTTCAGGTTCCTTGGGGTATACTTTGACACTAGACTGACCTGGGCAGAACACATTGAGAGAGTGGTGGGAAAGTGTAAGAAGGTGCTAAAGGTGATGCGCTGTCTGATGGGGAAGGAGTTGGGGACTGGACGTTCCTCATTGAAGACCATGTATGTTGCATTGATCCGATCTGTAATAGACTATGGCAGTATAGCATATGGTTCGGCAGCCCGGACCTCACTGGAAAGGCTAGATGTCATACAGGGGCAAGGACTCAGCATATGTAGTGGGGCGTTTCGGACGTCCCCAGTGGCTACATTACAGGTGGAGATGGGGGATATGCCATTGCAGAATTAGGAGACAGCAGCTGGCAATGAATTATTGGGTCAACCTACAAGGACATGGAGTGTCTCATCCTGCAAAAGGGATTTTACAGGCATGCTGGGAACATGAGCGAAGACAGAACACGAGCTTTGGGTGGGCGAAGGAGATGGGACTGTATGGAAGGGAGTTTAGTCCAACGGTAGTTATTCCTGTAAATCCACCATGGCTACTCCCGCCTCCAGTAGTTGATCTAGAAGTGTTGGAGAGACTACAGAAAGATAGGGAGGGTGTTGATCCATCTGATTTGTTTAAGAGACGTCTGGATACCGTGTATCAGGATTTTGTGGCCATTTAAACAGATGGTTCAAAAGATCCAAGGACAGGACGTACTGGGTCAGCATTTGTAGTGCAGGAATTTGGGGTGGAAGTCAGGAAATGTATTACAGATCATCTGGCGGAGCTGATGGCCATACTGTTGGCCTTGCAGTGGGTGGAGGAAGTCAAACAGAGTAGTTATTTGCTCTGAATCATTTGCAGTGTTAATGAGTCTCCAGTCCTTTAGCTCACAGAGCAGACGAGACCTGCTTTATGAGGTGCAACAAACCCATGGAAGGATTAAACAGATGGGGATACAGATAAGATTTACTTGGGTTCCAGCCCACGTGGGGGTGGAGGGGAACGAGGCAGTAGATGAACAGGCTAAACAAGCACTTGGTAGTGGGGATATTGACGTTGAAGTGTCAATGAGCAAGGCAGAGGCAAAAAGACTGATATATACAGTGATGGTGCAGAGATGGCAGGAGCAGTGGAATAGAGATAATAAGGGAAGGCATTTATTTCAAGTACAGAGGAAAGTCGGGGAGGGGAGGACGGCAGGACGGGACAGAAGAGAGGAGGCTAATTTCACTTAGATTAAGGGTGGGACACAGCCAGTTGAATAAGACATAACATGTGATAGGAAAGCATCCAACAGGAAAGTGTGATTATTGTCAGGAAACAGAGACCGTGGAGCATGTATTGCTATAGTGTGGGCAGTATCAGAGGGAAAGAGAGAGGATGAGATCTAGTATGAGAGAGAAGGGGATACAGGAAATTAGTTTAAAGAGTATATTGAGTAGAACGTCATTAGATATAGTCTCAAATATTTTATATTTTTTAAGAACAACGGGGCTGGCAGGTAGGATTTAGTTTCTCCCGGTCTCTGGCCCACACTCCAGTACAGTAGGTGGCGGTAATGCAGTATAACGTTGGATGCCAATCGCTGATAAACCCCACAGAAGAAGCAGACGACGACATTGAACACCACACATTGGCTGCTGTTGTAGGCTGAGTGATAGAACAGCTATTTCCATGTTAAAATGTTATGGGATGCATTTTCTCCATTGTTTTTGATGGTAGGACACTCTGGTAGGCCTACATTATGATCAAATAGCCACAGTAGCTTACTTGGCCACTGTTAAAACTGTAACTTAAAACGTGTACAGCCTCAGTGTTCACAGTAAACGTGCGCTGGAAGTTGCACAGAACATTCAAGTTTGCGCTAAGCAGGCCTGAAATTTGCTCAGTGCTGAAAAAAATTAGAGGTTACATTGATTGGCACTAAAAAGGGGATTTGATACTTATTTTCTAGGAAGGAAAGAAGGATGAATGCCATCGAAAAGTATTCGAACACCCCGCCCGCCCTCCGGAAGATGCCACAGACAGCCAGGGTGGTGACTTCCGGCTTGCCGAAGAAAGTTGAGCTGGGGAGGTTTGCTGGCTCCTGAGTTTTGCAAAATGGACAGCCAGGGAAGGAAAGTGGTGGTTTGTGACAATGGAACCGGGGTAAGTTTATGAGTGGAAAGCTGCATATTACTGATTTCTATTAATTCCGTATTTTTCCAAGGCAGAATGACAGAAGAAAACGTTTCTCTGAAACAGGAAGTGGATGATGTGTCGCTAGCACGCTAACGTTAGCTAGCTAAATCGGTAGGTGACGCTAGGCAGGAATGTCAGTCCGTTTCTACAATTATCTACTGCTAGCTATTTCATCAATGTCTTCCAATACATTGATGAAATACATTTCACGGTGCAAATTTTAAATCGGCCTTTTAGCTCAAACCTAGTAAATCGTTTGATTTAGTTTTCATGTTAGTTAGTTGGCTAACTAGTCTTGTTAGGTTGGCTAACTAGCGTTAGCTAACTACATTTTCACAACATGTTTTTGTCGACAGGTTTTTCAGCTGTTGAATGCATTATTGTTTTTATTTTTCACTTGTAAATTCACATTTGTTTCTGCTGGTCCCTATGCCTCACGTTCAACTACATAATTAGTTAAGCTAGCTAACGTTAACCATAACCCATGCCTTTGTGTTAATAGCTAGCTGGCAATATCCTGTAGGGTATCCAGTATTTTTAATGGAATGCTATAAAATAGTTGCATCTGGAAAATAGCGCCAGCGCTGCGTTCCTCATGATAACCGTGTTTCTAGGGATTCTGAGGTCCCTCCAACATTTATACAGGTGGGTTTAGACTAGGACCTAGGTAGTGAAAATTGCTTACATCTATAGTACTCAGATCCTTAAAATCTGGACACACCAAAGGGGTCCTAGTGGTTGTTTTTGGACTGGACTTCTGACTCTCAGCAGTTCGAGGGGATGCTGGCTTAGTGTGTATGTAGCTAAAAAAGTGCTCACTGTGAAGGGCTAAAGAAATGAGTCAAGCGGAAGTGAGACCAGTTTCTGAACCACAGCTATGATTCGAAGACACAACACATTCACATTTTAGTCATTTAGCAGACGCTGTTATCCAGAGCGACTTACAGGAGCAATTAGGGTTAAGTGCCTTGCTCAAGGGCACATTTAAGTCATTTAGTAGACGCTCTTATCCAGAGCGACTTACAAATTGGTGCATTCACCCTATAGCCAGTGGGAAAACCACTTTACACATTCACTGTTAGGCTAGAGCCTTTAACCCTTACTCAAGCCTACTGAAGCGAACGTCACAAATGTGTTCAGTAATTGCTCTCTAATGCCCGAAGAAGTGTAGACTGCAATTTTGCCATTGGTCATAACTTAATCTCTCGTTACTTCTGTGTAACTGAGATTAGTCATAATAACTAGGCTATTTTGCTTTGGGGAGTCAAATAAACCCTCTCTCTTCCACGTTTGCCTCATCTCTCCACATCCTTTCCCACCTTTCCTCTCCACCCACTCTCACTCTCTCTTCCTCCTTTCTTTTAATTCAATCCAGTCCAATACAAACAATATTTATTGACATGGAAGGAACAGACCAGTTGCCAGGGCAATATACAGTGTTAATATAAAACATTTTAATATATGACCTCTCTCTCTTTATCTCTGTCTCTCACATATCTCTCTCTCTCTCAGTTTGTGAAGTGTGGCTATGCAGGCTCCAACTTCCCCGAGCACATCTTCCCTGCCTTGGTGGGCAGGCCCATCATCCGCTCCACAGCCAAAGTGGGCAACATTGAGATTAAGGTAATACTACTACGCTCCCCTCTCCTGTCCAACACTCCATCGTTGGTTCAAAAGTTACCCCGACACAACAGCCCCTATTCCTGGACCATGAAGCATGGACTAGGCTTAGTCTAATCTATGTCTGTCATACTAGCTCCCTGAGTCTAGTAACACCTATTTTTAAAATGGCTAGACAATTGAGATTTATACCCCTTCCTCTCTCTTTGTTTTATTGGCTGACTCTCTACTTTATGCTCCACCTCCTTCACCTGTCATCACATGATGAAGTAGAATAGTCGGAAGATGGTGAGTGCCGTGAATTCCCGGCTGGTGTGTGCAGGCCCATATCCGTGCCCTCCCTGGTTGCCTGACAGGGAGAGGGAGTCATGCTGTGTGTCTGGTCCTACTACATAGCTGCAACATGTTGAGGGACTTTTTAGTTGTTATTGTCCATGTTTTAATTTGTCTCTAATTTGTGTTTTATTTGTCTAAATATTTGTCTAATTGTAACATTTTAAGTACTTCTGTTGGGGAAAATAGATTCTAAATGACTAGGCAGATAGAAACCTAGCGATTGAGAGTCCACTCCTTCACTGTTGCAGTTCCTGTTTTTCGTCTGGAGTTAGTTTAGCAGAAGTAACTTGGATGCTGCATGGGGTGCGTCCCAAATGACACCCTATTCCCTATATAGGGTGAGCGTACCCATTAAGCCCTCTTCCACCTTTTTGGGATTAAAATAAAATACACTTTTTCTGCTGTTTTAATGTTTCAACCAATTAATCTGGTTGTTATATCCATCACAGTTTTTATTCTTAGCCAATCAGATGTTGTAGTATTAAGTTATTGACAGTTGTGTAAGTTCCCCTAGTGGCCATTTCAAAGATGCAAAAAAAAACCTTTGGTGTCGAGGCAACCCTTTGGTACCCTCTCAGATAAGTCATCATACTTTATGTAAAATTAAGAAATTGTGCTGATACATGCACATGCAGTGGTGGAAAAAGTACTAAATTGTCATACTTGAGTAAAAGTAAAGATACCTTAATAGAAAATGGCTCAAGTAAAAGTGAAAGTCACAAGTAAAATTCTACTTGAGTAAAAGTCTAAAAGTATTTGTTTTTTGGGCTAAGAAGATATATATATATATGTGAAACTATTTTCTATTCTCACTCCTGGTGCCTCTGGGCTAGCCTACCTCTTTGGTTCCAGACAGCTCTGGGTTAATGACAGCTCTGGGTTAATGACAGCTCTGGGTTAATGACAGCTCTGGGTTAATGACAGCTCTGGGTTAATGACAGCTCTGGGTTAATGACAGCTCTGGGTTAATGACAGCTCTGGGTTAATGATGCAGCATAGAGTTTCTCTCTACTTTAAGTATGAAATGAATACAGTAATAACAGTGGCCCATCGATCAGATATCAGAGTATGGCTCCAGCTGTGATTCATGTTAACAAAATACTTCAAAAGAGTCTGAGTATGGATGCGTGCGGTATCCAGGAAGTTAGTCAGACCGCCAGTTGATTGGCGGGACAAACAGGATGGAAGCAGCAGGTCTTCATTGAAAACACATGGCACTACCAGAGGGGGGGCTCCCTCAGTGCCAAAACACACACTGTATCAACTGTTTCACTAACCTGGTCCTAGATCTGTTTGTGCCAACAATTGACCATAGCAGTTGGCACAAGTCAAGACAATACAAACAGATCTGGGACCAGGCTACTGTTTCTACACTTTTTCGGTCAAGTAGCTTTTGTAGGCACATGTTTCTAGTGTGCACTGATGAGTCAGGCTCAGGGTATGCCAGTGGAATATGAAACGTTGTAGTGTGTGGCTAACACTTGGCTAACCTATCATGTAGTGATTCCCAATGCCGGGTTTGCATGTAGCTCTGACTGACCCTTGCTCAAATGAGAATGAATCCTAACATGAAATGCATGCAGATTTTCAGGCAAACCTCCCATTGACATCAATTAATGATCCATGCAAGTTACTTGCATGTATTTCAAGTTAGGATTGTGCCCGTTGTGAAATTAGATGAAAGAGTACGCTGGGCAGAAAAGGAACAGGTCTTAAGAGTGAATGCATGGAAACATGCTGTATTGAAGAATGCATTCTGGGTAATTGCTGATGGCCGTGACTGGGCTCTTTTGAGCACTGCATATGTGTACATTCCATGACTGTGTCTCATTAGGCCATCATGGAGGCAGTGTTGACATGCCCCTCCATTACTGTGTCCCATTAGGCCATCATGGAGGCAGGGTTGACATGCCCCTCCTTTACTGTTTCATTAGGCCATCATGGAGGCAGTGTTGACATGCCCCTCCTTTACTGTCTCATTAGGCCATCATGGAGGCAGTGTTGACATGCCCCTCCATGGCTGTCTCATTAGGCCATCATGGAGGCAGTGTTGACATGCCCCTCCATTACTGTCTCATTAGGCCATCATGGAGGCAGTGCTGACATGCCCCTCCATTACTGTCTCATTAGGCCATCATGGAGGCAGGGTTGACATGCCCCTCTGTTACTGCTGGGTCTGGTGAAAGCCGACTGTGCAATTAAGCTAACTGTCGGATTTCTCCAGGGTCATATTCGTAAGGCACTCCACCGATCAAACCCAAACTATCCCACAGAGAACAACACCTGAGCTTGTCCAATAAGAAAAAGGCATGTTTTTGTTTACTGTTGCAAAATGCTTTGTCACGTTGTGCGCTAATGAATACGACCCAGGGGTGTCTATCTGACCTTAAACCCCTAACGTCTATAGGACCTGATGGTGGGCGATGAGGCCAGCGAGCTGCGCTCCATGCTGGAGGTCAACTACCCCATGGAGAACGGTATCGTCAGGAACTGGGACGACATGAAGCACCTGTGGGACTACACCTTTGGCCCTGAGAAGCTCAACATCGACTCCAGGAACTGCAAGATCCTGCTCACCGAGCCGCCCATGAACCCCACCAAAAACCGCGAGAAGATCATTGAGGTGGGTAGGGGTGTGTATATCGGTGGGGGGTGGAGGGGGGTGTGCGTGTAGGAAGTTGACTCCAAGTGCATAGCACCAGCTAGCTACCTCTCTGACCTCATTGCCGTATGAGAACTGATGTAGGAACAGCTCTGTGAGGTTCAGTGTGTTCATAATTAACAGAGCTCTAAAGCTGTGTGAGGTTCAGTGTGTTCATCATTAACAGAGCTCTAAAGCTGTGTGAGGTTCAGTGTGTTCATCATTAACAGAGATCTAATGCTGTGTGAGGTTGAGTGTTCATCATTAACAGAGCTCTAAAGCTGTGTGAGGTTCAGTGTGTTCATCATTAACAGAGCTCTAAAGCTGTGTGAGGTTCAGTGTGTTCATCATTAACAGAGCTCTAAAGCTGTGTGAGGTTCAGTGTGTTCATCATTAACAGAGCTTTAAAGCTGTGTTAGTTTCAGTGTTCATCATTAACAGAGCTCTAAAGCTGTGTGAGGTTCAGTGTGTTCATCATTAACAGAGCTCTAAAGCTGTGTGAGGTTCAGAGTGTTCATCATTAACAGAGCTCTAAAGCTGTGTGAGGTTCAGTGTGTTCATCATTAACAGAGCTCTAAAGCTGTGTGAGGTTCAGTGTTCATCATTAACAGAGCTCTAAAGCTGTGAGTTTCAGTGTGTTCATCATTAACAGAGCTCTAAAGCTCTGTGAGGTTCAGTGTTCATCATTAACAGAGATCTAAAGCTGTGTGAGGTTCAGAGTGTTCATCATTAACAGAGCTCTAAAGCTGTGTGAGGTTCAGTGTGTTCATCATTAACAGAGCTCTAAAGCTGTGTGAGGTTCAGTGTGTTCATCATTAACAGAGCTCTAAAGCTGTGTGAGGGTCAGTGTGTTCATCATTAACAGAGCTCTAAAGCTGTGTGAGGTTCAGTGTGTTCATCATTAACAGAGATCTAATGCTGTGTGAGGTTGAGTGTTCATCATTAACAGAGCTCTAAAGCTGTGTGAGGTTCAGTGTGCATCATTAACAGGGCTCTAAAGCTGTGTGAGGTTCAGTGTTCATCATTAACAGAGCTCTAAAGCTGTGTGAGGTTCAGAGTGTTCATCATTAACAGAGCTCTAAAGCTGTGTGAGGTTCAGTGTGTTCATCATTAACAGAGCTCTAAAGCTGTGTGAGGTTCAGTGTGTTCATCATTAACAGAGCTCTAAAGCTGTGTGAGGTTCAGAGTGTTCATCATTAACAGAGCTCTAAAGCTGTGTGAGGTTCAGTGTGTTCATCATTAACAGAGCTCTAAAGCTGTGTGAGGTTCAGAGTGTTCATCATTAACAGGGCTCTAAAGCTGTGTGAGGGTCAGTGTGTTCATCATTAACAGAGCTCTAAAGCTGTGTGAGGTTCAGAGTGTTCATCATTAACAGAGCTCTAAAGCTGTGTGAGGTTCAGTGTTCATCATTAACAGAGCTCTAAAGCTGTGTGAGGTTCAGAGTGTTCATCATTAACAGAGCTCTAAAGCTGTGTGAGGTTCAGAGTGTTCATCATTAACAGAGCTCTAAAGCTGTGTGAGGTTCAGTGTGTTCATAATTAACAGAGCTCTAAAGCTGTGTGAGGTTCAGAGTGTTCATCATTAACAGGGCTCTAAAGCTGTGTGAGGGTCAGTGTGTTCATCATTAACAGAGCTCTAAAGCTGTGTGAGGTTCAGAGTGTTCATCATTAACAGAGCTCTAAAGCTGTGTGAGGTTCAGAGTGTTCATCATTAACAGAGCTCTAAAGCTGTGTGAGGTTGAGTGTTCATCATTAACAGAGCTCTAAAGCTGTGTGAGGTTCAGAGTGTTCATCATTAACAGAGCTCTAAAGCTGTGTGAGGTTCAGTGTGTTCATAATTAACAGAGCTCTAAAGCTGTGTGAGGTTCAGAGTGTTCATCATTAACAGGGCTCTAAAGCTGTGTGAGGGTCAGTGTGTTCATCATTAACAGAGCTCTAAAGCTGTGTGAGGTTCAGAGTGTTCATCATTAACAGAGCTCTAAAGCTGTGTGAGGTTCAGAGTGTTCATCATTAACAGAGCTCTAAAGCTGTGTGAGGTTGAGTGTTCATCATTAACAGAGCTCTAAAGCTGTGTGAGGTTCAGAGTGTTCATCATTAACAGAGCTCTAAAGCTGTGTGAGGTTCAGTGTGTTCATCATTAACAGAAGCGGTCCAGCTGCCCTACAGGCTCACGCCAGACCATATTTGATGCCAGTCTTTTAAAGTTCTCTCTCTCTGTGTTTCTCATAGGTGATGTTTGAGACGTATCAGTTCTCAGGGGTCTACATCGCCATCCAGGCTGTGCTGACGCTATATGCTCAAGGTACTAGACTAGAGGAACACAGCCTCTTCAACCCTCTCTGTTTCCCTTTAAGCCCCAACTCAACACAGCTTACTCCTATTCAGAGACTGTGTGAAACTTATCGAGGGTGTGTGTTAATTATCTTATTGTGTGTGTCTGACCTCTCTGTGTGTGTCTGACCTCTCTGTGTGTGTCTGACCTCTCTGTGTGTGTCTGACCTCTCTGTGTGTCTGACCTCTCTGTGTGTGTCTGACCTCTGTGTGTGTCTGACCTCTCTGTGTGTGTCTGACCTCTCTGTGTGTGTATCTGACCTCTCTGTGTGTGTGTCTGACCTCTCTGTGTGTGTCTGACCTCTCTGTGTGTGTCTGACCTCTCTGTGTGTGTCTGACCTCTCTGTGTGTGTCTGACCTCTCTGTGTGTGTCTGACCTCTCTGTGTGTGTCTGACCTCTCTGTGTGTGTCTGACCTCTCTGTGTGTGTCTGACCTCTCTGTGTGTGTCTGACCTCTCTGTGTGTGTCTGACCTCTCTGTGTGTGTCTGACCTCTGTGTGTGTGTCTGACCTCTCTGTGTGTGTCTGACCTCTCTGTGTGTGTCTGACCTCAGGCCTGCTGACAGGTGTTGTGGTGGACTCTGGGGACGGTGTGACACACATCTGTCCGGTGTACGAGGGTTTCAGCTTGCCCCATCTGACACGACGCCTGGACATCGCTGGGAGGGACATAACCCGCTACCTTATTAAGGTACCTCTGACCCTTCACCTCTGACCCCTGGATCTCGTACACATTGATTGCCCCTCATTCACTGGTTTGGCTAAATGGAGTACAGCTATGGACAGAAGCGACTTGACTTAGCAGGTTAAGAGAATTAACGCAGCAGTTTAGGATAATTTTTCAAATCAAATTTTATTGGTCACATACACATATTTAGCAGATGTTATTGCGGGTGTAGCGAAATGCTTGTGTTTCTAGCTCCAACAACTCTCCCTGTCTTTCTCTCTCTTCTCTAGCTGTTGTTGCTGAGGGGCTATGCATTCAACCACTCTGCAGACTTTGAGACGGTGCGTATGATGAAGGAGAAGCTGTGCTACGTGGGCTACAACATCGAACAGGAGCAGAAACTGGCTCTGGAGACCACCGTGCTGGTTGAGTCCTACCAGGTCAGTACCACTGTCCTACCAGTCAATACCACTGTCCTACCAGTCAATACCATTGTCCTACCAGGTCAGTACCACTGTCCTACCAGGTCAGTACCACTGTCCTACCAGGTCAGTACCACTGTCCTACCAGGTCAGTACCACTGTCCTACCAGGTCAGTACCACTGTCCTACCAGGTCAGTACCACTGTCCTACCAGGTCAGTACCACTGTCCTACCAGTCAATACCACTGTCCTACCAGGTCAATACCACTGTCCTACCAGGTCAGTACCACTGTCCTACCAGGTCAGTACCACTGTCCTACCAGTCAATACCACTGTCCTACCAGTCAATACCACTGTCCTACCAGGTCAGTACCACTGTCCTACCAGGTCAATACCACTGTCCTACCAGGTCAGTAACTAACCTCTGTGCTGGTCGAGTCCAACACAGTCAGTGTTGGGAAAAATCCTAAATAGACCTCTAGTGACCAATTCACCACTTTTGGACAACATTTCTGGACCCTAAATAACAGACCAGGATAAATGGCGTTTAGCAGCTTTTTTTAGTCTGGAGCTTCAGTCCACAATAACATCTTTATGATATATAGAACCCCCCAATGACCCCCAAGGAAGTATTTTATCCCCTTAAAAGTAGCACAAATGATGAGTAACAGAATATGCCACCACACAAGGCTAAACACTGGAGTGGGCGGAGCTTCAGGGGAACCAGGAAGTGCTGAGCAGCTGTTTCTTCCAGGGAGTGTGTGGGTGGAATATTCCTCCATGATATTATTTTCTTTCCATAAGAAGGGAACGCATAAAAAAACACGAGCACACCTTAAATGTGTGTGTGCAGCGTGTGTGTGTAGCGCGTGTGTGAGACAAGGTGGGTAGTGTGGCTGTGGGGGCAGCCGTAGGCCTGACGCGGACTGTGACATCATATCCTGTGTGGCCACAGAGCGGCGGTGGCTGGGCATCTCTCTACAAGACACTATACTACACATTCACCACACGTATGTCTGATCAACATATATACTCCATCCTCTGACTTTCTCCCCCTGCAGCTCCCAGACGGCAGGTTGATCAAGGTGGGAGGGGAGCGGTTCGAGGCTCCAGAGGCGTTGTTCCAGCCACATCTCATCAACGTAGAGGGAGTAGGGGTGGCAGAGCTGCTCTTTAACACTATCCATGCAGCAGACATCGACACCAGGTAACTAACACACAGTACGCACACACTCTTTTTCTTTTTTTATCGTCACCCCTTTTAATTTCCTCTTTCTCTCTCCCTCCCCTCCCCCCGTCTCTCCCCTCCCCCCCCGTCTCTCCCCTCCCCCCGTCTCTCCCCTCGCCCCCGTCTCTCCCCTCGCCCCCGTCTCTCCCCTCGCCCCCGTCTCTCCCCTCGCCCCCGTCTCTCCCCTCGCCCCCGTCTCTCCCCTCCCCCCCGTCTCTCCCCTCCCCCCCGTCTCTCCCCTCCCCCCGTCTCTCCCCTCCCCCCGTCTCTCCCCTCCCCCGTCTCTCTTCTCCCCCGTCTCTCCCCTCCCCCCGTCTCTCCCCTCCCCCCGTCTCTCCCCCTCCCCCCATCTCTCCCCCTCCCCCATCTCTCCCCCTCCCCCATCTCTCCCCCTCCCCCATCTCTCCCCCCTCCCCCCATCTCTCTCTCTCCCCCCTCTCCTCTCTCTCCCCCCTCTCCTCTATCTCCCCTCTCTCCTCCTCTCTCTCTCCCCCCCCTCCTCTCTCCCCCCTCTCCTCTCTCTCTCTCCTCTCTCTCCCTCCCTCCCCCTCCCTCCCCCTCAGGTCTGAGTTCTATAAACACATAGTGTTGTCGGGTGGTTCCACCATGTATCCAGGCCTTCCATCTCGACTAGAGAGAGAGCTCAAGCAGCTCTACCTGGAACGCGTGCTCAAAGGCGACGTGGACAAACTCTCGGTGAGAACAACTCTTTAAAATGTATTTTCTTTTATTAATACATGTAAGTCAATAACAGATTGTTATTCACAATGATTACTTGTCTAAGGGACAACCGGTCCCTAATGGTCCTGAAGGGTGGGAGCAAGGATGTATGTTGAAAGTATTGGGACAGGGCCCACTTCCTCAACGTGGTGCAGTGTTGTAGTTAAACCACTAGGTGGAGACAGAAGAAACATATCTGAAGTAGTCAGCTCATAGTACAGAACAGAAGTAGAACATATAATCACTGATCTACAAATCACCTTGCCTTCTGAATTACTACGCATTATATGACGAGGTCAAGATTAGCAATCCTGTGCCAAACTCCTCCCCTCAAACATGACGCTGAATTGCCCCGTCTCCCTCTGTAGAAATTTAAGATCCGCATCGAGGACCCTCCGAGGCGTAAACACATGGTGTTCCTGGGAGGGGCTGTGCTGGCGGACATCATGAAGGACAAAGATAACTTCTGGCTGACCAGGGAGGAGTACCAGGAGAAAGGTGTCCGGGTGCTGGAGAAACTAGGGGTCACCGTCAGATAAAGGCCCCCATAATGTTAGTTAGACGACCCCCCCCCACCCCACACACACACACACAATCAAACATACATATATATACACACAAACACTGAAGGGTCATCATAGAGAAGTACTAGAATTGGTGACTAGAAGGGTGTGTGTATATAACACACACATGGTTTCCTCCCCCATGGCAGACTAGATAATCTATTTATCCATCTTCTTCCTCCTCTATACAACAGAATCACGGCATCACCAGAGGGAGTCATGACATCACCCCCCCCCCCCCATGTCTTCTGATGGCCTAGTATAGTTTAGCTCATGGTTGATAGGGATTTTGTGGATGGTAGTAGAGTTCAGGGTGTATATCAAGTCTCCTGAAAAATTCACACGGTGAAAGTAATATGGTGGAAAGTTATATTTTCAAACTAGTGCAGATGAGGGTTGAGGTCAATTTCAGTGAAAACAGAATGGTCCCCAACCCTAATGCAGATGATGACTTTAGACTATTGAGGCCCACCCCTAGAACAGTTGAACCTCTCGTCTCCTTACCAATCACTTCTAACTTCCCTGTCCTCTTCATAAAGGAGTAGCTAGAAGCTGTCCCTAATCGCTGATGCAGGGACAGATGTTATTTCATTTCCCAAATGGTTAAAGGGACCGTTGGAGATTTTGGCAATTTAAGGACTTTTTTTCTACTTACCCAGAGTCAGATGAACTCGTGGACGCAAACTCCCTCCCACCAAAACAGGCTGAAATTTCAGGCGGTCTTTTCAAACAGCTCTTACATTAAAAAGGGCATCATCATCATTTTCACAGTTAGACAATATTATTCCAACCTCCATAGTGTGGAAATGTATATAAAACACAGGAAAATCACGTTTTTGCCTGCACTGGGCCTTTAAGGTCAGGGTACGGTTAGGGTTAACTGATCCTATATCTGTGGTTATTTAGAGGTAACCATAAGCTTTCTAGGACGTCACAATCAGGATCCATCTCAAACAGGCATTGGCCAGTCCAGTATATACACAAACCATTATTAATTGAGGACTGATCATGTTTTTATATCGTCTTTTTTTTTGTTGTATATCATGATTTATTAATTTCTCTTTTTGGGAGAGGGATGTCTTCTGTTGGATGTATACAGAGTCTCGTACCTTAATTTTTTACATAGTTTTCTTTTTTTGTGGTGCACGACCATTTTAAATGGAGTATATGTCATATGAAAATTCCTCGTTTTTTTAATGAAGAATTGATGATGAGGATAATGAAGTTGATTTTAAGGGACATGACCCCTGACCTTGAAATTAGTGACGGTACAAAGGGTTCAATGGTCGGGGTTCAGGGGTGGGGTGGGGTGGCGGGAGGGTCATGATATTAAAACATGGTTAAATCTGAAGGTTGTACTATTAGGCGTGTTCCAGGTCGACTAAATTGCAGTCGCGCTGCACACAGCAACCAATGGTTACGTGCCACGTCATCGACTTCACAGTCGAGTATCAGATTGCTATATCCTACGGTAACAGTTTCCCAGACGCAGATTAAGCCTAGTCCCGGACTAAACATTTTTATTAAAATACGTTTTTAGTCCAGGACCAGGCTTAATCTGTGTCCCGTAAACCGGACCTATATGTGGTTAGCTGATATGTTGAACATCTAATCAGGCGTTGAGGTCTGGCAGGCGACTGCAGCGTAGTCAGTCTGGAACATGTCCACTGACACTGAGACGTAGTAAAAAGCTGGTATTTAAGTTCACTAGTCCGGCTCTCACCATCACAACATGATATACAGTTGAAGTCGGAAGTTTACATACACTTAGGTTGGAGTCATTAAAACTCGTTTTTCAACCACTCCACACATTTCTTGTTAACAAACTATAGTTTTGGCAAGTCGGTTAGCACATCTACTTTGTGCATGACATAAGTCATTTTTCAAACAATTGTTTACAGACAGATTATTTCACTTATAATTCACTGTATCACAATTCCAGTGGGTCAGAAGTTTACATACACTAAATTGACTGTGCCTTTAAGCAGCTTGGAAAATTCCACAAAATGATGTCATGGCTTTAGAAGCTTCTGATAGGCTAATTGACATCATTTAAGTCAATTGAAGGTGTACATGTGAAAGTATTTCAAGGCCTACCTTCAAACTCAGTGCCTCTTTGCTTGACATCATGGGAAAATCAAAAGAAATCAGCCAAGACCTCAGAAAAAAAATTGTAGACCTCCACAAGTCTGGTTCATCATTGGGAGCAATTTCCAAACGCCTGAAGGTACCATGTTCATCTGTACAAACAATAATATGCAAGTATAAACACCATGGGACCACGCAGCCGTCATACCGCTCAGGAAGGAGACGCGTTATGTCTCCTAGAGATGAACGTACTTTGGTGTGAAAAGTGCAAATCAATCCCAGAACAGCAGCAAAGGACCTTGTGAAGATGCTGGAGGAAACGGGTACAAAAGTATCTATATCCACAGTAAAACGAGTCCTATATCGACATAACCTGAAAGGCCGCTCAGCAAGGAAGAAGCCACTGCTCCAAAACCGCCATAAAAAAAGCTAGACTATGGTTTGCAACTGTACATGGGGACAAAGATCATACTTTTTGGAGAAATGTCCTCTGGTCTGATGAAACTAAAATAGAACTGTTTGGCCATAATGACCATTGTTATGTTTGGAGGAAAAAAGGGGGGCTTGCAAGCCGAAGAACACCATCCCAACCGTGAAGCACTGGGGTGGCAGCATCATGCTGTGGGGGTGCTTTGCTGCAGGAGGGACTGGTGCACTTCACAAAATAGATGGCATCATGAGGAAGGAAAATTATGTGGATATATTGAAGCAACATCTCAAGACATCAGTCAGGAAGTTAAAGCTTGGTTGCAAATGGGTCTTCCAAATGGACAATGACCCCAAGCATACTTCCAAAGTTGTGGCAAAATGGCTTAAGGACAACAAAGTCAAGCTATTGGAGTGGCCATCACAAAGCCCTGACCTCAATCCTATAGAAAATGTGTGGGCAGAACTGAAAAAGCGTGTGCGAGCAAGGAGGCCTACAAACCTGACTCAGTTACACCAGCTCTGTCAGGAGGAATGGGCCAAAATTCACCCAACTTATTGTGGGAAGCTTGTGGAAGGCTACCCAAAGTTAAACAATTTTAAAGGCAATGCTACCAAATACTAATTGAGTGTATGTAAACTTCTGACCCACTGGGAATGTGATGAAAGAAATAAAAGCTGAAATAAATCATTCTTAAAATAAAGTGGTGATCCTAACTGACCTAAAACAGGGAATTCTTACTAGGATTAAATGTCAGAAATTGTGAAAAACTGAGTTTAAATGTATTTGACTAAGGTGTATGTAAACCTCCGACTTCAACTGTATATTGGAGGCACTTACTCCCCCCCCACCCCCCCAGCCTAAATATCATATTTTTTGTTTTCATAAATGTTCTCTCCAGTGCCAAGAGCGGTTATTGTTAACTGGATCTTTTCATGTTTTTATTTGACGTTTTGTCTCTTTTTTGTTTTTGATGTTCTTATTGTTCATTAGTATAACTGCCTAACGTCGCTGATTTAAATAAAGTGATTTATAAGAACGTTCTTGTTGTGTAGCTCTTTCTTCTGAAGGACTAAACAGAACGAACGGTTAGCAACAGAGGGGGACCTTTCCTGTCTCCTCCGACCGCAGAACATCGGACGTCATTTTGTTCATTCTCCAAAAGGAGAGCGAAGAGGGTGAGGCGTCGTCTGTATTATTAAAAAGGGAGGGGGGGGGGGGGGGGGGGTTGAAGAAGAAGCACTTAAGACTTGAGAGCCAGTAAATGAGAAGCATTATTACTTCTGTCGTATATGGGTTTATAGGTCGTCCCCATGGTAATTGCAATACACGATCCCCAGGCCCCAGGAGGGTTAGCTGCCGGTGGAGGAAGGAAGGAAGCAATTTCTAGTCCATAAACAAAGTAGCCCTTAGGAAAAAATACTAAAGGGGGGGGGAGAGAGAGAGAAGAGGAACTGAGCCCAGAGCAGAGGGACTAAATAGAGGATCAACACTGGAATGCATCATGGGTAAATAGTGACTGACCGATGTACAAATAATGAGTAGTTATTTATGATGCAAGGTTCTGTGGCTGAAAACAGTGTTGCACCACCAGAGGAAAAGGCTGTCTTTTCTGGTCGAACATACAGAGCTCACTCCTGGGTTGTGTTCATTAGGCATCAAATGGATTGAAACAGCCTGAAGTTGTCCAATAAGAAATGTTTGTTTTTGTTTTTCTGTTGCGTAATGTTTTGTTACGATGTGCCCTAATGAATGACTCCGATCTCAGTCCCACTGACTCCCCTCTGTTGGCCTCTCTCTCTGGTCTGGGTACTGTTCAGTAGGCACCAAACTGAAGGAAACACTGCAGGCTACTCCCTGTGTGAATAGTTTTCAGGCCAATGATCTGGCTCAGTAAACCCTAGTCTATCTCCATTGGGCGCGTTCGCGTGGACCACTTTTGACAAGTGCCTTTCAAAGTGTTCCGTTATGGGGATAAAAATGGTCCCACTTCAGCCTACATGTCGACCACATTACGTTTCTGTAGTTAATCTTCACCTTCATCCTGCTCTATTGTCAACCAATCGTTTGGGTGTTTATGTTTGGCCCACGCGAATGTGACCAAAGACATGACAAACACACGTCCCTGAATCGATGGCAATACTATATTTCAGGGAGACTTACTTTGATGTGGGCGCTTGGGACAGGCAAGTTCTGCCCATGTTACATTAATGTGCGGGATAAACACATTTTGAATTCTGTAGTGTACAGAAAACGTTGTTTTATTTCGCTTGTTTCCCAAGTAGTCACACACACTAGTACATCCCAGAAATCATGACGGCAGACAGCAGGGTGGTTTCACTGACTGGTTTCTCTCCTTTTATTGGAGGCTGAAAGTAAAGGCACGACTGATTCCTTTGTCACACACCAGGCAGACCACCCCTCTGTGGTGACTATACAGTACAGGCAGACCACCCCTCTGTGGGGACTATACAGTACAGGCAGACCACCCCTCTGTGGGGACTATACAGTACAGGCAGACCACCCCTCTGTGGGGACTATACAGTACAGGCAGACCACCCCTCTGTGGGGACTATACAGTACAGGCAGACCACCCCTCTGTGGTGACTATACAGTACAGGCAGACCACCCCTCTGTGGGGACTATACAGTACAGGCAGACCACCCCTCTGTGGGGACTATACAGTACAGGCAGACCACCCCTCTGTGGGGACTATACAGTACAGGCAGACCACCCCTCTGTGGGGACTATACAGTACAGGCAGACCACCCCTCTGTGGGACTATACAGTACAGGCAGACCACCCCTCTGTGGTGACTATACAGTACAGGCAGACCACCCCTCTGTGGGGACTATACAGTACAGGCAGACCACCCCTCTGTGGTGACTATACAGTACAGGCAGACCACCCCTCTGTGGGGACTATACAGTACAGGCAGACCACCCCTCTGTGGGTGACTATACAGTACAGGCAGACCACCCCTCTGTGGGGACTATACAGTACAGGCAGACCACCCCTCTGTGGGGACTATACAGTACAGGCAGACCACCCCTCTGTGGGGACTATACAGTAGAGGCAGACCACCCCTCTGTGGGGACTATACAGTACAGGCAGACCACCCCTCTGTGGTGACTATACAGTACAGGCAGACCACCCCTCTGTGGTGACAGTACAGGCAGACTACCCCTCTGTGGGGACTATACAGTACAGGCAGACTACCCCTCTGTGGGGACTATACAGTACTCAGGTCCTTATCAAAGCAGGAGCTACATCAGAAATGTTAAACACCAATAATACAAAGAAATGTACAACATACATGCAGTGTACAAAACATTAAGAACACCTTTCTAATATTGAGTTGCAGAACAGCCTCAATTCGTCGGGGCATGGACTCCACAAAGTATCGAAAGCATTCCACAGGGATGCTGGCCCATGTTGACTCCAATGCTTCCCACCGTTGTGTCATGTTGGCTGAATGTCCTTTGGGTGGTGGACCATTCTTGATACACACGGGAGGAGATGGGTTAAAGAAGGATTTTCAAGCCTTGAGACGTGGATTGTGTATGTGTGCCATTCAGAGGGTGAATGGGCAAGACAAA